AGTTTCGCGCTTTATGACACATGGCGGTCTGTCATATTCTTGATATTTCGGGGAAGATGCCCGTTTTTTCAAAGATCGTGAAATCTCACACCAGAGCATTCAGAACAATATATTCTACAAGAGCATTTATTTGTGACAAAACAAAGGGCAACTTTAACTTCTGTTGTTGCTAATTAATTGAAAACAATATCCAGATTGTATCCGTTATCTTTAGAAAAACTAATTGTTCACAAGCACAGACAACAAATGCATAGATCTACTTCATCTACAGTTACCCTAACCAGCTGCATTTTCTTCTAAATTTTTTACAACCACCACTGAGAGTACAGAAACAAGTCACCAGAATCACCGTTCCGAACCACCCAAGTCGGCCTGAAATTGTGAGAAAAGTTACCATTAAAACCATCCAGACGTTACTGAAAACCGTCCTATCTTGTTCAATTCCATTATTAACGTGTTCAGAATACTCCCTTATGTATGGTCAGTTCACCCCCTTTTTGTATTTGATACCTGCGTCTGTGTCTGTGTTTGAATCCCACACCCTCAGAAAAAACTTTTGCAACAGCCGAAAATACAGGAGCAAATTACCCGACAAAGTATAGGAAACTACCACATGAAAGTACCCAGAATTTTGATTTCAGGCAAGAGATTGGTGAAGGAAAACGATGCAATATAAATAGCTACTTCTAATTGCTGAGCTGGCATTTGCTATTGTTGGTCTCCACTAAGAGGATCTTGTGTGTTGCAATTGACACTAACACACATGTGAGTACTCCAACTAGACAGCACACAATATTTTACAACACTATAATAGAGACACACACGTCCATTGTGTCTCCTTTTGTCCACCAACACCTGTTACCAGGTGCTAATCTGTAATTGGTTCATTTAGAGGAAATTCCGCGGTGGTCGTGCGATGTGGCAAATTTGACTTTTGGTAGCGCCACAGAGTTGTCTACTGCTAACAGTACAGGATCACAGAGGTCTGGAAACAGCGTGAAATCAAAGTGAAAACGTGTACGCTGAGCTTAGTGTGAGTTAATTTTGCTATGTGTTACATTGTAGTTACTAGATATGTGTGTGTTCTATTTGGTGTGTACTTTCTGTACAAATTTGCAACAAAACACCATCAAAATTTCCCATCAGTTTGTATTTCAAGTTAGTGTACTTGTAAAATTACGTTCATATAACACGAATTGATGTGAGGAATAGAGTATAGAAACAGTGTGAGATACGATCCTACCATAAATAGAACCAACATACCAGAAAACACGTCAACTAGTTGGATAACAAATAAATTTACTAGTGCATATCAAAGTGTTTCGCAGCATAACAAGAAAAGCGCATACCAAAAAATACATCAACAAGCATAACAAGCAAACAGCATAACAAAATATGATCATAACAAAATAGTCAGTGTAACAAATAATCGACGTAACAAAAAAGACAGCATAACAATCAACTAGCATAACATATATAGAGCATAACAAACAAGACACATATCAAATAAATATCATATCAAATAAATCATCATAACAAATAAGACACATATCAAATTATTGACATATCAAATAAATAGCATAACAATAAATTATCATAACAAATAAACAACATATCAAAATAGTCAGCGTATCAAAATAATTAGCGTATCAAAATAATCAGCATATCAAACTAGTCAGCATATCAAATAATCAGCATATCAAAATAGCTAGCATATCGAAATAATCAGCATAACAAAAATAACTTTGCTATGCCAGGAGTTTGATATGATAGAACACAAAGATCATTTTGTTATGCAGCTGCCTCCACTCTTTTTTTGTTATCCCATTAGTTGAGCGCTTTTATGTTATTCTTCGTTAATGATATGCTCCACCTTGAAGGGGAAGCCAGGCTTTGTGATCTATATGTAAGACCCTTTCCAACAATATGACCCGATACTTTCCCACTTCCGGGTCAGCAGTGTTCCGATATTCTACGTAATACCTCTCATATTTTAAAAACTGCATTCTAAGTCTTATTCAGTCTCGATATGCCTATACAAATATCTTTGCTGTGTTTGGCAGTAGTTCCTACACATACAATTAGTTGTAGAATTTTGCGACACGGAAAAAGGGCGACAGTGGTGCGACTTTCTGATATCTCCGCTTTTACTTTTCCTTTTCCTTTTCCACAATGTCGCGTGGTAGCTAAAATGTGTGATCCGACATTACTTGAGTGTCAAACTTTTTCTGTTAAAAATGTCTGATACCGGATAAACCTTAAAATGTCGCCTGTTATATGTGTCGCATGGATAAACATGTCGTAGATACCAGCGACATGGTTGATGCGACATGGTTGATGCGACATGGTTGATGCGACACGATAGATGCGACACAAGATACGCGACATGGTACATCCGACATGACTGATGCGACATGATTTATGCGACACGGTAGATGCGACACGCAGCATTGAACTTGCGACAAAGAGTGCAAACGACATTTCATAGTCGAATAGACACCAACAATGACAATACCCAAATTACTTGCAAAGACCATGAGATGACACTGATAGTGATCTCTGTGGTATATGATGCGTTTAAAAGCGTTAGTTGTACCGTTACCACCAATATAATGAAGTAAAGCTTGATATAATGTATGAAGAAGTACTGGCATTGTACGTTGCATGTGAGTTAGAAGTATAGTAGAACGTGGATTATCAAAAGGGAAGCAGACACAATAGAATCATACAATGGATAGCTGTATATATGTCTGCTTTGTCATATGGTATTGCATGTAAACTTATACAGAAATAGATTTGGTAATTATTATGCCTACTACTAATCACAGAGCCGTTGCTACAGTTTGTGTAGCTGCTACAACTGTTGCTATCACAGGTTCTGACAACTCCATTAGTATTATAGGTTGTGGATCTTGAAATACAGCTAATAAAGTACACCAATGGCATATTTAATGTGTGGAATATTTGTCTTTATTTCACGCTTTAGTCCTGGTATCCTATCTATTAGTCTACATGTTGGCTATAGTCAATGTATTATCCTACTATCCATCAATTGAAGCCGTGGATGACTTGATAATGCATTGATAATTAAAGGGAAATTGACACCTTGAATTCATGATCTTACCAAACATATATGACTGCTTGCTCACTCAGACTGAGGAGCGGTACTCCTATAATGATTTGGCAACTACCAGGCTATCAAATGGACACGTCTGTCAAACATTGACTTCCTCCCCATGCTAAGCACTTCCGACCGTTGACACATAGTTCCGGTCATGCCTCAGGTCCCTTGATGATTGAACTTTAGGAAAGCTTGCAACAAGATGACGCATTCAGGGTCGGTGAATCACAAAACTCTAGATACAATCACCGGGCATATCATATATGATCCAGCCCAGCATAACATACAGGGTTCACCGGGCATACCATAAATCTTTGGAAGAGGCATAACAAATAACATTCAGCCGAGCATAACAAACAACGTTCCAAGAGGCATATCAAATTAGTTTCGGCCGAGCATAACAAATAGGGTCCACCAGGCATAACAAATAGGGACCACCAAGCATACCAAAAATATATTCACCCGAGCATATCAAATTAGCTTTACCCGAGCATATCAAATAAACATTGAGCCGAGCATAGCAAACTAATAAAGACCGAGCATATCAAATTGGTTTCATCCGAGCATAACAAACACATTTCGGCCGAGCATAACAAGTAAACAGGTCTGAAGCATAACATAAAACTCATGAAGACGCATACCAAACAAAACGTTGGCATACCAAAGAATAATGTATGGGGCATACCAAAAGAAAAGCTTAGTTAGAAATGACACAAAACTAATAGACACGTGATTCCATGGGCAAACCGAAAGTGAAATCCGGAATGAAAAATAAGGGTGCTGTAACGTTTAAAACCCTCATTTCAAATAATTTTAACCATTAATATATACATTTGAATTTTGAATTGTTATATTCAGAGTGAAAATTACCTCGAATTTTAATGATTTGTTAATCAGTCGCCCAAAATGATAATATTCAAGAATTTGATACTGTTATAGTGGCTCACATTATAACCATATACCAAATCAATCCAACGAAATTAACAATAGCTACTTTGGATGTAACTCCAACATAGCGCCATCAGATTAACTTTTTTATTCAGTTTAATTTTGTTTGGGAATAATTTGTTATTGCAAAGAGAGCAAACTAATAACAATATATAAACCAGATCTCACAGTTCCACATTTACACATATTATAAATGCAAGCCACAGGTGGTAATAGCATCATTTTATTATGAGGGTGATAAAGCATCTATAGTTTAACGGCAAAATCGACCCCTTTGTAGATTTCGTGCACAATTGTCAAGTTTTCATATGGTAGCAAAATGAGTACCTGCTGCAAAGATCTAGTATAAAAACCGACTATTTCCTTGAAAATAATAAAAAATTGACATTTCTAATACAGTATAAAGACTTGTTTAGTGATTGGCAAATTAGAATGAACAGAGGCTGGTTTATATAAATCTCAAAATCCATAAATCATTTTAAATCCAATAGGTTCATTAGGTTTATTTCAGGGTGACACTCTTCATAATGCACGCATGTACATTCTACTAGAGTGTTAGCCAGCTACATGGATATTTCTTCAAAGTAGTAAGTGTGTATATTTTCATTTAGTCTCAACTATTTACTTATGGGAAAGAACTTTTGTACAACAATATTTGTTACTCACAATTGTTGTTTATCAATCTTTCGAGACCCCCAATTCTTATCTTAGCACGTCTTTTATTTCGTCAGCAAACACAAGCAGTTTTAAAAAACCCTCTTGTAATAGTCCTTGAATGAAGTCCATGCCAATCTCCATTCTTTCTGTTTTAACTTTCTGTGGAAAATATCAAAATCACATTTTTCGAGTCGATTCAAATATAACACAGTTGGGATACCTACCATCATCGGTGTGAAAATTACATCTGGTATATTTTTACGCCAATTCTTGGACTGCTGGGCAAGCAACCTATCATTAGCGTGGCTCTCAAGCACCTTCCCAATCGCCAGACTTGCCTTTGCAAGTTTGTCTCGAGCAGTTATTATATGGTCGTTGGCAGTAATGGCTGTCTGGTATACCACCTCCTGGAGTTTCTCCTTAACTCGGGATTCCTCTGATACATCCTCTCCTGCATGGCCCTGACACAAGCAAAGAACAGATTCCTGGGATAAATCGTGAGCTGTCATCAATTCAACGGGCAAGGTGACTTGGTTACGCGTCTGAGCATAGTACGGTACCCCTAGGATCATGGAGCTAACTGCCGTTGCCTGCCCGATGTGGGCCGCAATGTCACTGAGAAGTGATTGTAATTCCGGCGAATACTCCAACAATCGAATAACAGACGGCGAAATTGATGGAGACAATAACAAGCTTTGGGTTAAGTAGTTCAACTGTGAGTATGTTCCCTCTCCGTAGCTACAGATATCGTTGGTAGTTTGAAAAGTCCCGCCATTTTTGAGGAATTGGCGACGAGTCTGGAGGAATTTCTGAAAGTATGAAATGTCCAAGTTGAAGTCATTTCTGAGCCCATCACGTAAAAGGATAGCAATGGGTTCACCTAAATCGGTCTCATTCCTCGAATCCTCTGTGAATACACGCAATAACAAATCACTCCAAAATTTGAATTTCAAGTCTGCTGTCGAAACCCCCAATGTGCTTGACATTTGGGAAGATGCTCTCGAAGCCCGAGATTGTGCATTGGATCCGCCTTCATTGATTTTGTTGATTTCCAAATTGAAAGCTCTGATAGCGAGAAATGAGTTCCTTGCTGGCTCAGGGATGTATTGTGCTAGGATGTAGGATGATCTGTCGCTTGATTCCAACAATTGGTTTACATTTTCTTGTGCATTGTGCAAAATGGATTGGTAGTTGGTTGACAAAAACCTCTTTCCCACATATCTGCTTCGTGCAACAAACATCTTGTTTATAGAATCGACTTGAATAGACTGGGGATGAACTAGACTGTTGAATACTGGGGTTTGAAAATTTTCAGTTTATATATTTTTTGTTAACTTGCTTTTTTTATTTCGTTCTCATTTGCTCCTCGCAAGTGAAAAATAAAAAAAAAATAGAAAAAAGGAATAATTCCTAAATCGTTGTCTAGTCATCGGTGAATCATACTACCATGAAAATTGAGACAGTAAGACCCAAGGCTTATTTAGATATTAGAATTGATGACAAAGAGTTGGGAAGATTAGTTTTTGAGCTATACCAAGATTTGGCCCCAAATTCTACAGAGAACTTCCTCAATCTCTGTCAAGGAATTAAGCTTGGGGAAGAGGAGTACTCATATAAAGAAACTAGCATTGATTTGGTCATTAAAAACTTTATAATACGAGGAGGTGCAATAAAAGGAAAAAACTTATCAACAATTTATGGGGAAAGTGGAATGAGCAAACCTATTCCTGGTGAAAATTTGACAGGTGACTTAAGTAAGGGATTCAGACTTTGTTCAGCAAATGATGGTGATGTGAATAATAATGGATCACAATTCGTGATAACAATTGGTCCACAAACTCACATGGCGGGATCACAGACAGTATTTGGGGAATTGATTTATGGTAAGTCTGTAGTGAGGGAGATCGAGCGAATCAAAACAAACAATCAGGATGTTCCAGAGTCTTGCATAACTATTAGCGAGTGTGGTCAATGGAGCGAAGGAATGCCAATCCCTGTCAGTAATGCATGCTACGATACGATAGGAGGTGATATCTATGAAGAATATCCGGAGGATGATACTAATTTTGACCAAGAATCTACTGAAGCAGCATTTGATGTGGCTTCGAAGATAAAAGAGAGTGGCACATTGTTATTCAAGAAAGGAAGCAAGCAGGATGCCCGATTGAAATACGTCAAATGCTTACGATATATAATGGAATTTATTCCTGACCCAGACCAAAATCATGAGTGGTATAGTAAATTTTTGGATTTGAAAAAGAAAATATATTTGAACTTGAGTTTGGCTTGTTTGCAATTGAAAGACTTTAACAGGTGTGTGGATTATTGTTTGTACTTGTTGGCCATGGAAAACATCTTAACCGATCAAGATAAGGCAAAAACACACTACCGTAAGGGAACAGCATATGTTGGCTTAAAGAAATACAAGCTGGCGGTAGAAGAGTTTGAACTTGCAACTAAGTTATCCCCTAGCGACGCTGCAATCACCAAATCATTAGAGTCAGCCAAAGAATTAATGGATCAACAGAAACAAAAGGAGAAAGCTAAGTATTCCAAGTTCTTTGGCTGAAATAGATTATTACAATCGGGTAAAAGAAAAAGGTATATACATAAGTACACTTCTATATAGATATAAACATGTTCAAATAATCAGTACTAACACACATACTCACACACAGAATCATCTTTGATTATTTGAATTCTGATTGTCACGAACATCGTCGTTGTCATCATTACTGTCCCTTTCATTTCTGGCCTGCGGCATCGGCGACGCATCAAAGAGACTTCTCATATTCAAATTGTCGTCCCTATCGTTTGAACCATGATTATTATCCTCATCGAGTTGATCAGTCAGTCTTGTTTCTATTCCATTTGGCGTTCTTCGGCTCGTCATACCAATAGGGAACAAAGGTTCTGGCAGTCTCAGACCAGATCCGTGTCCTGGAATATAATCAACGACTTCTGCAAACGGAATGTCATTTCGGGACTCTTGGGATAATCTAAATTCTCGCTCTCGTCTAGATCGAGTAGCCCTGAAAATTCTTCTTAAAGGTTGTTGCGGGGATCCTGACGCAGTATTTGAGCTAGGAGCCGGTGTTTCCAAACCTTGAGACGATGTGGTAGGTGAAAATCCAAAATAATGCATTCTATCAGTGCTGTCTCCACTCCTATTAGTATCAGCTAGTGTAGGGGTCCGAACAATACTGTTTCGAACTGAAACGTTTCCGAGGGAAGTCGACTCAGACTCGGCTGGAATGGTAAAAATGGAAACATTTCTTCCTTCGTTATTTGACTGAGAATTCTCCTCTGCTACTGAAAAACGACACAAGGGACAGGTAGTGTGAGACTTGAGCCACTCACACAAACAATCCTTTCCGAAGACATGGGAACAGGGCATTCTTATTGGAACATGGTCGAATTCTCCCACATGATCAATCAAGAACACCGGGTTTCTATTATTAGTTGCTTCACCACCTCTTCCACCCGCAGGCTCATGATCTCTTGAATTTGAAGAACTTGAGGTCGTCACTGAAGACTCATCAAAAAGCCGTCTTTTCTTGTGATGTACCATTTCATCATCTGGTTGCAATTCCTCCTCTTGTTTCTCTTGTTCAAGGAGTTCAAACTTTTCAAAGCATATAGAGCAGGTCTCAATTTCACCCAAATCTTTTCGAGCAACCTCAGTAAATGTTCTAAACTTCTCTAATGTGGTACCCTTCTCTTGATGAAGCCCATTTATGATTGATGAGTATGCCATTTGAGTAGCAAGCCTTATGAATTCTTGGATCGCACCTGGTTCACGATTAGACGCATTGTTTGGCAAAGACATTATTAAGGAACCAGAACGATTCGGTGCTGTTGGTCTGTTCTCGTCGGAAAACACATAGTTAACAGTTATAATAATAGCACGCTCTGGGTCATCATCACCGGTAGCTGGGCCGCTCGGTTGAGGTTGAGTAGAACGACTGCTCTCTTCTCCACCATCTCCTCTTTGATTTGTCTCTGTGTCTGGATCTGTAGTGTTATTCATCAATTCCGTGATTTCATTTCTAATGGGGGAAGGACTTCTATTGTTCCTGTTGTCGCTGTTATTGTTATTGTTGCGCAGTCTGGCACCTCTCAAAAACGTATCCATGAACCTGTCAAATATCCCTAGATCTCTCCGGTGACGTCTATTGGGGTTATTTTCATTTGTGGTTGTGTTTGAATTCTGGGAGGCAAAATTTCTGTTTCTATTAGTCAGTTGGTTTTCATTATTGTTGTTCGTATTTGTCAGCTGGGAATTGTTTTCACCAGAAGAATTCCGTGAATGCGACGTATCGTCTGGCATTTAATATAAGGGGATTGTTTTCAGTGATCTTGTTAAAGCAAAACCAGAGTTTTACTAAAAAAATGAAGGGAAAAGGGGAAAAAAAAAGTTGTGGATCGTTAAATGATGATAACGGTTGTCTCCTGGATTAATAATATACTTTTTTTTTTCTCCCAGTGTGTGAGACCAACAGTAGTTACACACATAAAACGAGAGAGAGAGAGAGAGAGAGAGAAAAAAAAAAAAAGAAAAAGAATGGGAAAAGAAAGAACCATGCATACAATCAACAGATATCATTTTGTGTGACCTATCTAAACACAGATCAAAAATACCTGCAGTCAGACGACGTGACCGATTTGCACGTTGGTGAAATCGAACAATTATATTCTGGTGTGCTAAGAGTTTCCTGAATGGTGCCAATAGAATGGCAAATCAGTACAGTCACGTGGAATCCATGTTCAAAATTATCGCAAAGTTTTCAGGGACTCTTTTATGTTCCCTTCTGCTTACCAAGCTATGATGGTTCTTTTAATGTGACTACTGTAGTGATGTACAATCAGAACAAGTTACTGTCGGGGTCACTGTTTTTGAAGAAAATTTTCAGAGTTCTGTAGAAATTCAACCAATGACAAACCTATATTAACCCAATAAAACCTTAAACAATCTATAGAATACAATACTAATCAAAACTACCAACAAGATGACAATGTACGAAAGGTACTTGTTGAGATAATCCATTGGGTTGTTACTCTTGTTTAATGATTCCTCGGTCAAGGGAATTGCCACCACGTTCTCAGCAGCCTGATAACATATACCTCTTCTGGTGAAGAGCTCACAATCTCTTGGGTCAATCTCCCTCTTCAATATGGCTCTTCCCAATAAAATACTCGTATAATGTTTTAAGGATCCGTTAAATGTCAAAAATGCAGTTTCTAGAATCAACGATTCTCTTTCTATACCAGTGGTTACCTTTTCAATTCTTTTCATCGTCTCGAAGACAGAAGTCTCAGACCCCAAAGCTCCCTTTGCTAATAAGTCAACTGGAATATCAAGAGCCAAAAACTGCTTAATCTTGGACAAAGACAGGACTATAGATTTGGTCTGTTCAAGTAGAAATGGAATAAGTAGCTTTTTCAAGTTGTTAAAACTCTGGAAGAATAGATCAATACACGACAATGTCTTGACCATGATTTCAAAAGACTCCAAGGTTGAGTCAATAATCAACATACTTGAAGGCTTGATGCTATTTGAATAGCTTTTATCTTCCCAATTCGAACATAACTTGCCGTACTGATGTAGTGATGCATTGACATCATTTCCAAACAATTCATTAAAATCATCTTCCAACTTTAACATGTTCAACTTGCATTTATTAGCCATGATTGTGATATCATCATAGTTCGGGACTTTTCTCAATAGGGTAGCGTATATGACAATGATATCCAGATATAAATGCACAGTCTTTTTCAAATCAATGCAATATTGGAAGAGTGCATTGTTGAGACAGCAGCGGAATATATTTGCATGCGACAATAGTAATTGCTCATCTGACTCCGTGATACTCGAATCGAGCTTGATTTTTCTATCTCCTATTATATACGGCATGAAATCTGTATTGTGGTGTAGTTTTTAATTCTTAATATCCTTCTTGGTAATTACTAAGTAGACACGATTAGACTTTTGACATAAAGCAATAAACACAAAGTATCGCTATGTTAAATATGGATCTTACTGTTTTCAGACAATAATAAATCGTTAGAATATTGACAAGATGAAACACACCAGAAGCTTGATGCTAACTTTCGTTTACCAATGTAAGATGATAGAAGAAGGCGTCATATGTTTTTTTTTTTTTCAGATTTTTTTTTTTTCTCTTTTGGTTTAGCGAGGGATCGTGTACAAGATTATATTTTTCTTTTTTGACTACGTAATAGATCCGTCTTTTTGCTATTCAGTTTTTTTTTTTTCATAATAATTGCCATTGCTTTCTGAGATTCAATTTCATTATAGGAATTACATCTATCTAGTATCAACGCATATTTAAGTCCTTAATATGGGAGTTTTCAGTTTATTCAGCTCCAAAGGGACTTTTGATCCTGATACATTTGAGAAAGAGTTGACTTCCATCACTGAGAGTATCAGTAGCAACAAACAACAGATCTATCGTTTGAAGCAACGCCAAAAACTGTTGAGAAAATCCATTGCTAGATATATGTCGTTATTTTACATATGTATCGTATCCTATTTTTATTTACTAACACCATCTGAAAGGGCAGGGAAGAATAGAATTCAGTGGTTTGTCATTAATCAATCTAGAAGAAACTTGTTAATATTAATTGGATACCCGTTATTGGCTATATTGCTATCCAAGGGAATAAGTTTTGTTTTCCAGTTTTTCATTAACAACAAGGAGAATTCGTTGAAGAATTTACAAAAGAAACACAAGGTGAAGATTGAAGAATTGAAGAATATAACCAATTTCAACAAGACTAATGAATTGATCAACAAGTATGGTGACGAGAAACCACCAAAGAACCAAGTCCAAGAGGGAGCAAATAAAGGGCAACAGAGAATTAGGAACAGGAAAGACAACTCAAAGTCTATTAGACAACAAGCTTTAAAGGAGCTCAACTTACCAGAACAACAACAGACCCAACAAGGGATTCAGGGAACTGTTGGACAACACCTGAAAGAGCAAAAAGTCATTCCAGATGGGCCTACTCCTTCCCCAATTGTTCCTCAACAGCCAGTTCCAAGAACTTTCCAGGACAGAATATTGGATATATTGATTGGATCAGATAACAGCGAGGCCGTTGAGAGTCGATACGCATTGATTTGTTTCAATTGTTTTTCACATAATGGTTTAGCTCCACCGCATACAGAGGATCCGGCTAACATCAAGTTTCAATGCTGGAAATGTGGGGCAATGAATGGAAAGGGTATGTTGTTTGATCAACCTGAATTGACTTCACAGTCTCCAATCGAATCTTCACCAGAAGCAATAAAGACATCAGATTCTAAGGCACCCGAACCAGTTTCAAAGAAGGAGGAAGGAGCCACGAAAACAGATGAAATATAATAAGTAGTGGGTGTTCTAGTCAATCAGATTAAAGTTTTTTTTTTATGATTCGTTTTGTATGTAAGAGAAATTTACAATAAAAAAAGAATTATAGAACGCAAACAGATTTATGTAGTTATTGAATCAAATATACATGTAACCTAAGACAAGTCCATGATAGCATTAACCATGTCACCGTCGTGCTTTCTTAAAGCTTTAACAGCTTTAGCTCTAGAGACTTGAGTTTGTTCAACAACAATTTCAATGTCTTTTGGATCTAAACCGGATTCATCAACTTCACCTTCTTCATCATCTTCTTCAGCAGCTGGTTTATCGTCTAAGGAAGCCTTTTCCAAGTCAGCAGTGATAGCTTCTGGAGATTTGTCTTCAGTGTTACCAGCGTCAGCAGCAGCTTTTTGCAAAGCTTCTTGTTGAGCTTGTTGAGCTTGAGCTTCAGCAATTCTTTGGTTCATGTCATCAACTTTAGCTTCACCAAAGACAACGTAAGTACCAGCAGCAGATCTGTAGACATCTGGGGAGTCAATGGCGTAGATCAAGTTACCCTTTTGTTTGAAAGTAACTCTGGAAATACCTTTGATTTGTTTCAAGTTCAATTTCTTGATCAATTCTCTGGCTTTCTTTTCGTTCTTTGGAATGACGTTGACGTCAGCACCTTGTGGGATTTCTTCGATTGACATTGTTGATAATAATTGTTGTTATTGAATGGAAGTACTCTAAAATTGTTGAGAGAAAATTTCAATACCAATTGAAAATTTTTTTTTTGTCGACGAACAGGGATTAGGGTTTCTTAGCAAACGAAAAAAAAAAGTAGGAAAAAAAATTTTCACCTGTGCAAATGCACGACCACTTGAGGTGTCGCAAAATGGAACAAGTTGAAAAATTGTGCACTATAAAAGAAGATGGATTCCTGAGATTATTTTTATTTTATGTTTTCTCCTTTTCTTTTTCTTTTCTTTGTCGACGTACTTCATAGGATCATTTCTATAGGTCACGACCCTCTTTTGATTCTTCAAAAGAGCCACTGAATCCAACTTGGATGATGAGGGAAATCCACTATACTTACGAGGGAGATAATATTTGCTCATCTTTTCTAAGAAGAGCGCGATGAACTTTATCTAATGTTTCTTTTTGAGACAAATTAGATGGTATAAGTGGCGGTCTGACAAGTCTTATATAGCTTTATGTTTTTTTTGTCGTAATATAAATTACTATTTTTTTTTTTTTGAATTTATGTATTGTAGATGGTGCTTCTATTGGATCTGACAAAGAGAAATCTAAAATGAGATGATGGACTCGGTGTTGTGATAACGTGGTCTTCGTAGAAGAAAGAATATATTAGTCAGGTAATAAGATAAACACATACTCTTTCAAAAAGGATCTTCATCATAACTAGTCAAGATGACTTCTGGCTTTAAATGATAATGCAAGATTTTGACATTTTTCTTTTGGGTCTAGCAAAGTGTCAAAAATAATTGCGAAAAAAAAAAAAAGAAACGGTAATAAATTACTTCAACTGATAAGCGCAATTTATTGGACCCACATGAAAATAGATATGGCAGGGAAATGGAAGAAAAAAAAAATAATCAACGAAATTTCAGGTTCTGATTTCCCCCTATTTTTTTTAATTACTGATTTCTGTTTTGTCGTTGTTTCTATTTGATTGGGTTAATTATGTATTTGGTCCCATTTATATTCTTACTAGCATTGACTGCTTCTAAGAAAGTGTTTATTGATAATGATGGTCTCTCTGCGCTCCAAGTTTTATTTCCACTTAAAGCAGGATGGGAAATTGTTGGGATTTCAGGAAGTTTTGGATCGTCGTCTGCAGTCGATGCAGTTGGTATTGGCAGTGATATTTTGGAAACGTACAACTTGACAGCTTGTATTCCACATTATTTGGGAGCTCAACAACCTTTATTACGAACTCAAGAAACATTTGATACTTGGCAAGACTTGTTTGGATCATTAGTTTGGCAAGGGGCTTTTACCCATGGATATGAAGATTCTTACACTTGGGATAATATCACCTATGATGACAGTAAAGCCGGAGCAGTTGCTATGATTGAGGCTGTGAGAGCACACAAGGATACTGATCCAGTCTACATCTGGGCTGCAGGTATGATGACGACTGTTGCACAAGCCATTTCATTATACCCCAATTTGGTTAATGAGTCGGCTGGGATTTATATTATGGGAGGTTATTTTGATACACAATACGCAGCTGCTCTGGGACCTCCAATAGTTAATGATATTAATACAGATATAAATTTGATTCAAGATCCCGAGGCTGCACAGATTGTGCTTACTGCCGCATGGAAGCACCTAGTGATTGGAGCAAACGTAACAAACTATTTGGTTCCTTCCCAAGAATTATACAATAGGATCATTGATAAGGCTGGAGGATTGGACGTTATACAAGATAATCCTTATTTTGCTCAAGTTCTGACAATGTTGGCCACGGGTAATTACACAGAGAATACGTCGGAAGAAACATTACCGTTCTGGGACGAAGTTGTGACTGCATTCATGGTATGGCCGGACTTGATTGAAAGCACCTCGAGCTTCTCTGTTGCTGTCGATACGCTGTTCTATTCTCCGTTCTATGGAAATTTAAGGATTTGGGGTCACGAGTATGCACCACACGGAATGAGAACAGGAAATGCAACTATTGTGAATAAAATTGACAACGATAGATTCTACGATTTGTTAGTAGATACCTATTTTGAAGACTGGAGACAGTACTGTATAACTGGCAAATCCGAAGCTTTGCAATATTAAAAAGAATGATGATTTATATAATTTGTACTAGAATGCAACAGACCATTAGACCTATTTCTCCTCTAAAATCTCGCTAGCCGGGGCGGCTATGGGTTCCAATTCTACGACAAAAAATTAGTGTTTGCTTCGCAATTTCTCTCGCAGAGGACGTGCGATCTCAACACCAATGAGTGGCCAAAAAAAAGTAAGCAAGAGTGGAAGAAGAAGAAGAAGAGGAAGAAAAAAAAATGAAACCGAAAGCATTATAGACTAGGGGGGTATATTATCATTTTATTTATCAACCACAAGTAAACTAAACGTGACATTGTCTCAATAACTATTCCTTTGATTCTTTTTTTTTTTTTAATTTACCTTTTATACAATATACTACATGAGTGGCATTGCATTGAAAATAACTTCCTTATTGGTGAGGACAATTGCCAAACCCATTGGGAATGCCATCAAAGCTCAAGCAAGAGAACATGAAAGATTCAGAAAAATATGTATCAAGTTTGCCCAATCAATGCACTCAACTGAAATAAAATTAAGAATGTCATTACTTGGGGAAAATAAAATAAGAGTTAAACCTTTGAATGACAATAAAGCTATTGAACAAGGTGCAACTTTTATTTCCGAATTTTTTATTTTCAGTGTTGCTGGTTCACTAATATTGTATGAGAGTTATAGAAGTAGAAAGAAGGCCAGTAGCGAAAGAGATGCATTAGCAGATGATATTACTGTGTTACAAAGTGAGATTGAATACATCAAGTCGAAACTCGGTGACATTAACATCAAATTGGACGATTACAAAGTTCCCGAAGGATACAATCCAAAGTACATTAAACTTGAAAATAATAATAACAACAACACAACCACAAATAACGAACCTTCATCTGAAGTAAAAAAATCATAGAGCCAACTTGTAAATAGTACTACAGCATTTGATTCTTTCTTTTGAAAAGAAAATATTAATTTTTTAGACGTATTTGTATATTTAGAAAGGAATGAAAAAAAAGTAAACTTATACAGAATTGTAGAAAAGAAAACTAAAATAATAATAAACAAGAACTATGATAAAATAGTAATAATAATAATAATATAAAAAAAAAACACCAAGATATAGTACAGACTTTAAAGAACAATTTCCATTACTTTTATTTTTGACCCTTTTTCTTTTCAACTTTTAATAACAAAGCTTTGTTGATATGAGGCAAGACACCACCGTAGGCAATGGTAGCTTTAATCAAGTTATCCAATTCTTCATCCCCTCTAATAGCCAATTGCAAATGTCTTGGTGTGATTCTCTTGACCTTCAAGTCCTTTGCTGCGTTACCTGCCAATTCCAATACTTCTGCAGTCAAATATTCCAAAACTGCAGTCAAGTAAATGGCTGCTTTAGATCCAACACGGACCTTATTCTGGGCACTTCTTTTCAAATATCTCTTAACTCTTCCCACAGGGAATTGCAATCCTGCTCTAGCTGAATGTGAAGTAGATGACTTGGCAATTTCCGAGGATTTACCTTTACCTCCGTGTACTTTTCCTTTTCCTGACATTGGGTTTGTTGTGGGTTTGTTGTGATTTCGTGAGAAAGGAAAAAAAAAAACAAAACAAAACAAAACAAAAAAAAAAAAAAATTGAAGAGCGAGCGTTCTTAATGAACTTTGTAAACAACCAAAAAAAAAGTTGAACAGAACGCAACGCATTTTTGAAACACACACGACTCGAGGTGACATTGACTAACTGTTGACAATATTCATAGTTCCAAGTTTATCAATCATAGCTTCCACTTCAGCTCTTGATTTGTTCAATTCAGTGCAAATAGAATCAAATGACTGGAAACCCTTTAGCATTTTTAATAAATCAACTATTCTTTTCTGCTCTTCCGTACTTTCTAAACCCACGTCTGATTCGTCGCCGTCGTCGGAGTCACCATCAATATAATATGACGAAGATGACCTCCTGTGACGTCTCTCTGCAATTGGAATCAAATGAGTATTTGAAAAACCACCAACATATGGTCCTATTTTGTCCTCATCATCACCTTCTGCTTCGTCATTTCCAGATCCTTCATTATCATAATCTTCATCTTCATCATCATCATCATCGTCGTCATCATCATCTTCATCTTCAGAACTATCATCTTCAAGGATGACTTCACTAGTTGATAGTCTTCGTAGATCATGCTTGTCGCTTTGGCTATAGGTAAAGCTGACCTTTCGTCTTACATCTGTTCTTAATGTTCGTTCATTGACTTTGGTCTTGAGCAAATTCTCGTTCGTTCCACCGGTGGTCTTTCTGTGAGCCTTTTTCCTCTGCAACCTATTAATCATATTATCAACCGCACCGATATCATTCTTCTCGATGGCTTTTGTTATTGAGTTCAATAGTGGATAAGAATACACTCGGTAAATGATCCCCCTCAAAACCCCAAAATTAATAAACCTCCTGATATCTATATTGTCCAAATACTTTTTTTGCTGGACATACCATTCCTTCAAGGTCTGACCTTGGTTGAGTGAGCGGTACAAGTAAAACAATGTTGTTTTTGTTGGAACCTTCACCTCAGTGTGTGACATCATTCCTACCCGTGGTGATTTCGACAAATATGTCGCTTTGGTGTATGGTGAAACAGATGCCGATCCAAAAGATGACTTGTAGTTATAGGTTGGTGTGTACTCCCCATTATTGGGGTGAGGCGAACTAAGCTGACTCGGCGTGTTTGTAAAAGAAGAATTCTCAGTACTGGTATCATTGGAAACAACATATGCTTGACACTCTTCAGCCATCTTACCGTCAGATTTTAAAAAGTTCCCAATATGATTTGTCGGTGCATATATATTACTGAACTGAAAAATATCAACAATCTCAATGCATTTGTAGTGCATCAAATGTTGTATACATTGCTTCGTTAAAAGATAATTGGCGTCTGCGAGTTCGCTTATCCTTTTGACGGAATTCAAACCATTAATGTACGGAAGGATTTTAATCATTGTAGGATCCCAGTTTACATCAACTAGTGATTGCAAACGCACGGTAGCTATCGGTACCTGATATGCCTTTAAGTTAATTGGTGGAGGCAAAATTGGAAACAACTTGATATCAACTGAGTTCGAAGTGTCAAGCGGGATACAACATTCTGAGTAGTTATTCAAGTCCTGATATATCTGTTGAATTAAAGACTCAATTGACGATAGAGCGATTCTTTTCGTTTTGGCAAACCCAGGGATATTCACTTGGGCATCATTTCCAGGGCCTGTGGTGCTGTCAATGATAGAGAATCCGTTGACATCAAAATTCGATGATGCCGCAGTCTTCTTCCCATTAGCAAAAGGGTTTTCCCTAAAAAATGCATTATGTTTATCCAAACAACTCAACATGAAACTTTGCTCCTCCAAAACTTGAAACATTTGTCCCATTCGCTTGATTGCTGACTCATATGGAGATACGTCTCCCATATCATAACGAAACACAAAACAGAAGTTGAAATTAAAGGAATTTCTAGCATAATATGAACTTTCCATATTTACTGGATACCCAATAACCTTGTATTTGTCGATCTTTAATGATATAAGTCGATTACATAATTGTGGTTTTGGAATGACGTAATTTTTGATAGTATCAAAATCAAAGATTCCTTCGTCGGTATCACCGCCTCTGCCACCTGTTGAAATTGAATTTTCGGGGAATTGGTGTACAATCTTTGTCCCTTCTATAGGGTGAAACACCGCATAGAATATGGCAACTATGGGAATAAAACCATCTGAGATATCCATTACAATGGATGGACTTTTTTGGTGAGTATACTATACTTCTTCCAAGGTGTAGTGGTTTTTTTTTTTTTCTTTCTTTCTTATTTTCTTTGCTGTTGCCAGTTTGTTTTAATTCTTCTGTCGCAACTTAAATAATAAAAACTCACTACAATAATATCGAAAATAATACGCGTACAATACACTATACAAAACTAGATTACAGACTATACTATTCAAAATCTATCGTTGTGGTGGAGGTGGGGGTGGAGGAGGTGGTGGAACACCATGATTCAGACGAGCTACTGATCCATTGCGTGGTCCACGTTGATCATAGTAATTGTTTCGGTTATGACCCTGGACTCCAGAACTTGAATGACCATAAGATGGTCGGAACAGCGGTGGAGCAGGTGGTGGTGGCGGCGGAGGAGGAGCATGTGGGCCTGAATCATTTCTAAATCTCTTTCTAGGAACTTCTGCACCAGGATTATATTCTTGCTCGTCTTCTAGATCTTCATTTGGACGCTTATTTCGTTTACAGTCTTTGGTGAGATGACCACGTTCATTACAGTTTTGGCATACTAAATGTGAAGCATGGGCATGTTGCTGTTGTCTGCGCTCGTAATTCTCTTGATTGAACGCCTTTTTATCTTTATACGTACCATTCATCTTGGCAAGCTCCATTAATTGGTTTCGTTTGATATCGTTTTTACCAAACGGGGAGTTTATCAACTTGTCAATGATTTCATTAACCAACATTACAGCCTTTGTAATCTTGTGTTGTGAATCGGAGGTAATCAAAACATGTAAATCATCATTGAGAGTTGAATGGACAGCATCATTATCATCTGTCGATTTCCCTTCTTTAACAGACCCTTTACCTCGAATCTGCAAACGTGCTCCACTATCTTGTTGTAATTGCTTTAAAGTGTTCCCTCTAGGACCAATCAAAAATCCGACAAAGTTGATTTCAGGATAATCTTTAACTGGGACGTACAATCTCTCCATTGTCTTTCTTGGTCTAGTATAGTTTGAAGGAGGCATGTACCCCTTGATACTTCCAGCAGCTAACTCCACCATTTCGTGTCTTTCCTTTTCCAATGCTTCTCTCACAACCCTATCTCTAGTATTAATTTTCATACCATCTCGGTCATATTTTGGAGGAGGTGAAGGATCCCTCTTGTATTTTAACTGTGGGTCACTACTTTCAAATTTTGCTGATGGAAGAATCTCTGGCACTGGTCGGTGCTGTTGTCGAGCAATATTTAACAAATGGGTTATCTCCTCACTTCTGAAATACTCTTGGTAAGCTGTCAACTGTTCTTCAGTTAAATGTCCTGTGATCATTGTGTCGAAGGTTTGTTCGCCAAGCTGGACATATCTTCTAGGTTTTCCGGACCATTTAGTTTCACGAGGTCCATCTACTGCTGCTGAAGGAGGAGGAGGTGGTGGTGGTCTTCCATATTGTGGTCTTCCTCTATTCATCCTGTTGATTGATTAAACAAATCTTAAACTCTGTATGTAATGGAATGTAGATACACAATTTCTTTCGATGACAATAAACCTCTCAGTTGGAATATTTGAATTTTCGCACTCGCACACAACAATTCATTCTTATTTTTTTTTTTTTTTTTTCATAATATTACGTCGTGTAAAGGGGCTAATTATATCTATACATGTCTATTTACCTTTGGAAAACTTCAATACACTTAGTACCTCCCAGCCAGCTTTTCTATGTATAACAACTTCGACATTCCAGCCTCGTTCTCTCATTATTTCGGCAACGGATTCGGGTTTATTTCTTGCACAGAATAAAATGTAGGCAATCCCATTAGAAGATAAAGTTTGTTCCAAACAATCTAATACTTTCCATGTCACAACCATCCCATCTTCGCCCCCAACTAACGCCAAGTCAAGCCATACTGGATCTTCATCTTGCGTAGGTATTTCAGGAATCTCTGATGCAGGCACATAAGGAGGATTGAATACTAATATGTCGATAGTGTGCGGCCTCACGGCTGACGTGAGACTCATCTGAGTGGAGTCGATCAAGTAAGCATCTTGGGGATTTTCCTTATTACAACGCATGGTTTCTATCACAGTTTTACATGCATGTGGATTAATATCTGTTGCTAGGAACATAGCTTTTGGTAGCACATTTTTAGCAATAAACGTAGTTACAATGCCAGAACCAGTTCCGATTTCAGTAACGAATGGAATGGACTCTTTAAATGCGGCCTGTATAAAATCTTTCTCCTGTTCAAAACAATCTAGAAGCAAAAATGAATCCTCTGAAGGTTCGTATACCTTTTCATAGTCGATTTTCCCAATAATTGGTGTTGGCAACATCACTTTGATTATTCTTCAGGTTTATTAAATCAAAGAGAAGAGAGAAAACCAACAAAAAAAAAAAAGTAAAATCAGACCGACAACCAAGCAAAAGAAAAATCATACACTCAAAAACACGATTTCCCAGGTGCAAAGAGGGCAAACCATATCTACGAGAATATTAATACCTGCTAGCAACGAATATTCTTTTACTATACTTGTGTCCGTATCAATATCAATTTTAAAGTCCACATACTCTAACCCACTCACTCACACGACAAGACGAAACGAAACGAAACGAAACGAAACGAAACGAAACGAAATGCAAATCAAAGTCAAGACTTTAACTGGAAGAGACATGCCCCTTGATGTTGAACCACAAGACAAAATCATTAGAATCAAAGAAATGATGGAAGAAAAAGAAGGTATATCCCCTGCTCAACAAAGATTGATCTTCAATGGGTCTCAATTGAATGATGACCAAACCGTTCAAGAGTCTGGTATTCAAGCTGGTTCATCTTTGCATTTAGTTTTGACATTGAGAGGAGGTAATTAGATTTTTCTATACTACAATAAATGTGACATGTATAATTTTCCTTTACTACTCATGTACATTACATACTGCAGCTGCAACAAAGTTGAAGTCTGGCAAGAAGCTATATCTCTTGTAAGCATTTGTCGATGACCGTCACTAGTTCAAGTGTCCATATAGTTAATCATGTTGATGTGGCTGCCCATTTTTTAGCATTGGCAAGGAATTTACTCATTCCCTTTGGAGCTTGGTCTTCTTCATCGCCAGGGAAAACGTATTCCATATACTCTTCTTCGATAAAGTCAACTGTGCGTCTCTTTTTCACCCTAGTAGGAAGCTTTCGAACCACTTCAGCAAGACTGTCATCAGTTCCATTAATCTCCTCGTACTCTTTCCATGCTTCAAGAACTGCCAAACGGGACTCGTTGTCTCTTTTTTCTTTGAAGTAGCTTTCAGCTTCTGTGAAAAGCTTTCTTGTTTTTGATATCTGTTCTTCATCAACTGTCGCCTCAAACTCTTCTGAATTCCCAAGCAAAAACTCATCCAATTGCTTTGCTGATGGAATAGAAGACTCGAATAAAGCAAATGAGATCCAGTTATTGGCAGTTGGCTCGTTCTCCAATAATGCTCTGTATAGTTCGCGGATCTTGTCATATTTCATTTCATCCCTGTAAAACTCTACCGAAAGACCAAACACCGTATCCTTATCTAAACTTCCTCCAGTTTCATTACTGTTGGCCAAATCAATGGCCACAGATAATATTAGATCGCATCTATCGTATTCCTCCAAAGATGATTCAAACTCCAAATAACTCTGCAAAATTTGCTCTGCTGGAGAATCTGTCGATATGGCAGCTTCTAGCCATTTTTGATAAAGTAAGCGCACACGATCCCACTCTCCAAGTTTCTTTTCAAAGTCAATGTAATACCGGAAAATCTTTGTCTTTGGTCCGTGTGTACTTGTTTGACCGATTGCTTTACCTAATATCTTACGCAACTTTGTTAAACCGCCTTCACTATTATTCCTTAATTCAAATTCAGCATATCCAATCCAAATCTTGGCAAATGAAAACTGGCTGTGTGGTATAATTTTCAAACAGTCGTTCCATATTCGGCGAGAACTGTTTATATCCCCATTGACAAACTCTTCCCACATAGCGTACCATATCCAAAACATAATATATTTCCTCCAGTCCCCAGACTTGAAGGTGTCAGTTGGTTTATTACTAGTTACCGAGATAAAAGAATTTCTAACCTCGTTTATAGATTTAGCACCATTGTTTTCTAAACTTTTAATATACAACCACCACGAATCATAATCATTAGGATTTTGTTTGATTGCTGATAAGTACTGGTTCTGTTTCTTCCCTTGATCACTTGTCCCACTGGTGTTAGTACCCCTGGTGATTTTTGATTTTAGTTCATTGAATGCAATTTGTAATCGGCTTCGAAGATTCAACGAGATTTTTATCTTTCCATCAAGCAATATCTTGTAAATCTCAAGTGCACGATCTGATTCATTACAAGAAGCTTCCCAATCTGACCATCGGACAACAATATCAAAAATATTTTCATCTTCTGGGTTCTCGACTAATAATGTATCAATTGCGGATTCAAATACTGCCCTTATGGTGGGTATATCCTTTTCGTTATTTTCAATCTCATAATCGAGCCATTTGCACCAGGTGGTACCTTCCGGGAATTCTGCCAAATATCTCTTGAAAATACTTCTTACATTGTCAATTTCTTCATATCTTGCTTCAAAACTAATGTATGCATCCCATGCAGACACGTCAGGATGCCATTCGAGCCATTTTTCAAATACAGACCTAACCATTTGATAGTTCTTTAACATTTCTTCAGTCAACACGTAAAGAAACCATAGTTTATTGACTCTGGGAAGTGTTTTAACGGCTCTATCTAGCAAATTTCTAGCATGGTTTATGTTCTTATGTGCTAATTCAAGTTCAATATATTGTACCCAAAATGGGATATGCTCAATATTGACATCTAATGCTCTTTCAAAAATGGATCTAGCACGAGCAAAATCGTGGTTATTTTCCACCTCCCATTTGGCGTATCGTATCCATTGTTTTAAATTTAGTCTATTCTTATGGATATGTTGTTCGAATTCTCTTCTCTTGGTCTGCTGGTAAGAATTTAACTCTTCGATATCCTGAATTGTTTGTCTTGGTGTCGTGAAAGTAGACTTGCCCTTTTCAAAAGCAACATCAAGAATCTCTTTACTTGTCACTTGATCCCTTGTATCTTGATCTTCCATAGTGCCAATTGAGATTGATGTATTCGATGATCTCCGTTAACTAAATTTTTCATTCTATACAATTTTTTGACTTGTATTTTTTTTTTCCGTTCTTGATAAACACTCATCTTCATGCAACACACACAACATAAACAACAGAAGTTTACTGAGGATCTCAAATCTTCTCTCAATATTTACTGGCTTTTGTTAGAATGAAGAAGTTTTTAGAGTAATTGCCAGCGATTTGTTTTTATTTCTTCACAGAAAATAAAGAACATCTGAAGTGGAATATACCCCCATCACTTTTAATGAATTCTACAGCTTGAATAAAACAAAACACAAATAAATGATTCCTGTAGATTTTTCGTATATAAATATTGATAATTGGTTAAATAGTATACATTTGTATTGAATAGATTGATGTTGGAAATATTATTCCCTGAGATTATAGGTATAGGACAACTGTGAATAGATCACGGCAAGTAAGTTCCACTACCAGATAAAAACATAATAAAATAAGATGAAACAAAAAAAAATAATGAAAAGTTAATGATCTGATGATATATATATATATATAGTACTCTAAGCATGGATGAAATAGAAAAAGACTCCTAATCAAACAAAAACCAGTATACATATGTCTATTCCTTTTTGATCAAATCCAAATTTTCATATATAGTGTTGGATGCCTTGTACAATTCTGATGCAGTTATTCCATTCTTATGAGTTTCATTGTCTTTCAATTGTTGTAACATTAATCTGACCTTTTCTCTATCTTTCAATCCATGTAAACATTCTTCATAATCTTCGAAACTAGCCTTACATTGTTTTATCGAAGTTGTGTCGGAAGAAGTCACACAGGACATCCATGATTGAAACTCATAAAAACATCTTCTTGTTCCCCCGGATCTTGAATATGGTTGCATTTTAACTTTTTGACTATTATGAACGGTAGACTACCTTGAGTTTCTTTGGTAAATTCGGTGTTAGCCTAATGCTTTTCAATATGAACCTCTTTTTTTTTTTCTTCCCTGTCTTTCTCTCTCTTGCGCTATATTAGTATTTTGTCAAACATCATTGGTTGTGAAAAATTGTTAACGTACACTACCTGTGTCAAACAAACATCCCACACTTACTACTGTCTAATGTTACGTACTAAAAAACAAAATTTATAATCAAATATTATAACATAAGGTAACATTTCTATAATACATTCTTTAAACGTTGTAATATAAAAGGAACAAACATTTTCCATCAAAGACAATATCCCCCAGATTCATCACTTTCAATAGTTCGGTAGGCAATCTTTCGTATTGCTAAAACATCGTTGACGACCAAAGTACCTTCTCATTTGAACTCAGCGGTCAAATCTTTGCTCTGTAAACGCTTTTTAAGATCTGGCAATCGAATATTACCAATCGCCAATTTTGGTCCATTTGAGACTAATGCACGTATTTTGGGATCTTTAAATTGTTCTTGAATAGCTTGTCTGCGTTCCGCCAAGCTGGTACCATCCACTTTCTTCAACGAAAAAAGGGTTGATGCATTCATATAGTCTTGCAATTTTCTTGGACGTTTTGAAGGTGGAGGTGCTGGATTTTGTAGTTCTAACTCACCATACACTTTAGCAACTTTGTAGTTGTCTCCAATCTTTTGCCATTTTAACTCCTTTACAAGAACTTCATCTAAATTCACTTCAAAGTTATTCAAACTAATGGATCCTGACTCAGCATCGGCACCGATCTTGACGGATTCGTTATCATGGACAACTAAAACATTCATCACACTGTTGGAGTATGGCGACATAGCGCTGGAAAGTCCATCCCTGATGGAAGCGAGTGACAAATATCTAGAAGAATGTACTGCATTCTTCTTGGTCTGTTCTAGATCGTGTTCTTCTTGTTGCTTGGTAAAATAATCCCTAACATTTGATAATCCATCTGGATTAGAGTAGTCTGGAAGTAAGATCAAATTGTAAGGCTTAAGGGCTTGAACAATTATACCCAATGAACGTAAATCTACCAATCCTGATAAATCAACAAATGATAAACCACATCTAATTTTGAGATTTTTTCCTCCTGCGCCAGTGGATACTCTCTTTTTGGGTTTAAACAAAGTGTCAAGGTATTTCTGAAGTACTTGTTGATTAACTTGTTCTTGTGGGGTTAATTTATTGGCTTGTTGTTTGTTTTGGTTTCTACCTTTTCTGTTATTACGAATATTGTTATTCCTCTTTTCATCAAACTTCTTCTTACCTTCCATGATGATCTTACTATGTGATATTTCATCATTCTTTTGAAACTTTTTAATATCAATCACTTCACCATAATCATCGAATTTTTCACGGTGTGCTGTAGGGAAATATGGGAACATTGCTTGTCTTGGTTTCAATTTATGCGTTATTTTGAGATCAATTGGAAGGTTTTTCTCTAAATTCTGTTTAATAGTATCCATAACAAACGCTTCGTGATTGGCAAGATCAGCTACTTGACTTGTAGAAACTGCCGTATTTTTTGCTAGTTCTAATTTCTTCAACTCTTCATCAGAATAGTGTCCCTCCTCGTCTTCATCTTCACGATCATCATCTGATGAATCTTCCGCATCAACAGTATCGGCACTTAATATGTTTTGATTTTTCTGATCTCTCACTTTCGCCATAAGTTTTTCCTTTCTTTTCTGTGCTACCTTCTCTTGGAAATTCAAAAGGTCTTGTCCCGTTAAGTCCACCTCTTTGGTTTGATTCTGTAAGCTGATGGTTCTATCGATTGGCACGGCTATCCCATCCTTGGCACCGTTGCCAGTACTTTTATTCAGTGCAGAAGTGTACCATTCCTTATAGAGTTCGGCACCTAATCCATTTCTAGAGTCTATGCAAGATTTCTCTGTTAAAATCACAGTTGTACTTGTATCGTTACATAAGTATTGAAAAGCTTCTGACGATATATCTCCGTCTTTCAAATCTATACCTGAACAAAATACTATCTTAGGACCACTCAATTTAATCAATTCTGCTGGATCCAATAACAAGTCCACTTTGGATGGATTGAATGGAACGGTAGATAATTCCTCCCATTGCTTCAGCAAAGTGTTTGACATCCAATCTGACATGCTGGAAGCGTAGCTTAAAACTTTGGTACCAGAGTAGGAAAGAAAGTATACCGGGATTGGTGCACCCTTCAAGTGTTCATCAACTAAATGAAATAATTCTAAAAATCTACCAGATAAAGAAGTTGGCAAAACAACAGCACCTCCATTGGCTAAAGTGGCATCAACCAATTGCAAAAACTTTTCTGTTCTCTTTTTATGAGACATTGCAGATCCCATGTCAGTGGCAGTGACGAATGCAGTTGGTCTAAGCAACAGTAAATGAGGACTTCCTGTAGATGGAGATATAAAAGAAGCACTATTCAAGAATGAATCTTTAGAATGGTTCCATGCCGGAGCATAGATGACACGGTCAACTCTCTTGGTAATCAACCAAAATGTCCCTCCCAAAGTATGCCCAGCGTTATATGGAGTGATCACCACTTTATTATCAAACAAATTAACAGACTGCTGATATTTTAACAAATTAATTTTATCAAACCAATTATCCACTTCATCCAACTCTATGATTGCAGAATCAACAGGTCCTAGAATTCCACTAGCACGATAACATTCCACAGTTGACACTCTACCTAATTGATTGACTGGAAGTGTTGAGTATATTGGGATCGTTGACATCAAGTTTGGAAACTTGATACATAATAACATGAACCCACTTATAAATTCTTCAGTGGAATGTGACAATAGTATTACATCAATCTCCTTAAGATGTTGTTCAATAAACAAAACTGAATCCACGTCAACCCCATTCCAAGAAGGATCTGTAAGAATTTTGAACTCATTATCAAATTCTAGTAGACCAGCTTTAAAGCTGTGATCATTCGTCCCTGGAGTAATTAGGGAAAAAGAAAACATCGGACCACGATTCTATTAGTTGTAATATTCAAATAGAAGTTGTAAAATCTGCAATCTAAGTTAGGTTTTTCCACCAAATATTGTCTCGTTTCGTTTTTTTTTTTTTTTTTTTCAGAGAAAGTGAGTCGTGTGCTATTTCAAAAAATGCGCTGCAATGACATACACTTCATTATACCAATATAATTCTACAAGGAAAAAACTATTCATCAAATTATGCAACGGAAACTAATATATAAATATATGTATATAATTATATGAAATAAAGAATATAATATTAGAACAAATGAGTCATCTTGTAACGGAAGTTAACTCATGTTTACACTATTCCTGGTGTGATATTTCAACAAGGTATCAGCTTGAACAACTCCTGGAAGATCATGGGTGGTACTTAACCTCTCTAACGAATATCTACCTGAGGTATATTCTCCAGTATGAATCATCTGTTGTCGTAATTCTTCCAAAGGAATATGTTTCTGGAATTGATCGTTAATGGTGTTTCTTCTCAAACGTTGCTCGGATTGTTTAGTGTTTCGTTTGATGGTAGTGTGTCTCTTTATAGATTTGAAAGTTCGGCCCAATTTAGTTTCTTTCTCCTGTTCCTCATCCTTATATTCCTGTTCCATCTTCTCAAATAATGTCGGATCCTCTTTGATGATTTCAGTAAGCAATCTGTGTCTCTCTACATCCTCTGCATCTGTTGGGTCATAGCCAAAAGGATATTCATCAAATTCACCTTTTCTAACTTGTTCCCTGATAATCTCAACATCTGAAGGACGGAAGTTGGAATTCAAGAAATCATATGTAAATCTAGGCAATAAACAGCCAATAATACCAACAAATATACAACACCAAACTGCCAAAGTACCCAAAGTTTGTGCGCCAGCTCTATAGAATTCACCAGAATAATTTTTGTTGACACTCCACACACCTGTCCAGAAATAAACCAATAAAATGGAGATGACCACAATCAATACTGATAACCAATCCCATCTGTACTGTCTCATCAACACATAGATGTTACAAGCAGTAACTACAATACATGCTACCACTATACCCACAAAAAATCTGTGATCGATTGTCATTCCCTGAGGATTCTGGAATGCCTTGTAGAATAGTAAATATGGGAAGAAAAATGAAATCACAGACTGATAGAAACCATCAACACAATACCAAACAAATTTAAACTGATGCCAATCTTTGCTCAAAATACCACTGATGTATAGTTGCGGAACTAAAAGTGAAACTGTATCTGAAACATCCTGATCAAAAATACCCAAAAATATAACTGGCAATGATGTGAATGCCAAATTATAAAACATCAAATAAGTATACTCGTACAAGTATGATCCATCAAAGTTATTGTAAATACCATACCAGAAGCAAGTGAGTGTGAAGGCGACATTTTTGTAGAAGAAACAAGGAATCATCTCTGCTAATCTCTTGTAACACCATCTTCCATGCACCAATAGTAATCTTGTCAAAAATCTAAACTGTCCAATGGCATAGTCTGACGACATGACAGCTTGTCTACCTTCTTCACCAGCAATACCAACACCTACATTGGCTGCTTGGATCATGGCAACATCGTTAGCCCCGTCTCCGATTGCTAATGTCATAACTTGCAATCCATTCTTAACCATTTTAACAACTTGTGCCTTTTGGGCAGGGGAAACACGACAACAAAGAACAGACTTACATTGCTTACCCAACAACAAGAATTTATCCTGCAAACGTTGGACGGACGGATCAGGATGTTCACTCAAGTCTTGGAAAATCTCAGACAAAGCTGCACCATCAATAATCAATGCCACCTTGGATTGGGGAATGGAGTGGTCTTTTCTTGCTTCTTTTATCAATCTGTCGACTTGCTCTGGAGTACTGACGTCGATATTGAACTCTTCTTTCAAATATTTGGTAATCAATTGGTCAATATGAGCCACATTATCTAAATCATCAGGCTCGGGACGAACAACTAATAACTTCATATCGTTTTCCAATAAATTACAGGAAAACCCAATGTTAATAGCGGTTTCAATTTTATCACCCGTCAAAACCCACAATTTAATACCAGCTTGACTTAAAATCGAAATAGACTGAGGAACACCTGCTTGTAATCTATCTTCGATAGCAGTACCACCCAACAAAATCAAGTTACGTTCAATGGAATCTGCCACTTCTTCCATTCTATACTCACGATCTTCCAAAGACGAAGCAGCAGCTTGATAACGTTTGCTCCACTCGGAATATTCGCTCCAGCTTAATTCACGTTGAGCTATGCACAAAGTACGCAAACCTTCGTTGGCAAAGTCCTCAAGATGAAGTGCAGTCTTGCTAACGAGTTCATTTGAATTCAATGTAGGATCCAATCTTTGAAATATGACGCTGTCGGCCCCTTTACAAATGAGCAATGCTTTAGGCTCATCTCTGGCAGTCTTTCCGGGAACTTTGATAATTGTACTCATTCTCTTTCTAGTAGAATTGAACTCCAATGTGTTTAAAATCTCATATTCAGTCAATTTTCCAAATTCCTCTATTACTGCCCCATTTTTAGTAGCATTCTTGAAATTAAATCCCAATGCACGGGCAGTCCCCACTAAAGCAGCTTCATCTGGTGATTGAGCTTTCAAAACCAGTTTCTGTGGGTTTTCTGGATCCTTTTCGGTCATCACAGTATGACACAATGCTAATGCTAACATGAATTGCTTGTTGCATTGCAGCTGTTTATCAGATTCATCCACGATATCCTTGACAAACTCCAGAGAAACAAAAGTAAGTTCATCATCATAGACATCTCTATTTGAAAGATTGTTGTGCAATTCGTCAATCATAACCTCTTTATCCTTGCTAATCTTTGTTTTCCATCTATGGGCTTTTTCAATCACATCTACCCCTGCACGTTTATCTAAACCTTGTTGAGCCTCAGTATAAGCCAACCCATAAGATTTCCCATTGATGGTACACTTTCTAAACTCCATTACATTTTGTGTTAATGTTCCTGTCTTGTCGCTGAAAACATATTCAATTTGACCTAAATCATCAGAAATATTCCAAGCTTTTGCAACACAAGGGAAATCTAATTTCTCATAATACATCTTGACATCGGCATAAATAAAATACGCTTGGGCAGTCTTGATGATTTCAATTGTGATATATAATGAGATTGGAACCAAGGATTGATAAATAATAACTGCAACCCAGAATGCAATGACCCCATTTATTGCAGGAGTTTTACCATATGGATGTAGATCAAAATAAATTCTAGAACTGTTTGTTCCTCGATAGTACAAACCATTGACCAAACCGGATATAAAACATAAGACAAATAACAATACAAAATTAAGGATGACCGATATATTCAACTGACGAGAGATACGTGAATTCTTGGTAGGGGTGATACCAGCATTCAACATAATCTTTGTATCCTGCCCAGTATAAGCAACAATTGCAATGATCCATTTGGTATTACGCACGGTACAACCTCTAGGCAAAAAGTTACTGATAGACAAAGGCTCTTGAATCTGGTGACCATCTCGATCGTATTTGATGTTACCTTCATATGAGTACAAATTCGGGTTTGGGGCTTCTGATTCAATTTCAAATTCAAGATCAATCATATCATCAGCCTTGTGAACCATATCCGAATATCTAATGCCTTGTTTGACTTTCAAATTGGTTTCACCATCCAAGTTCTTGGTTTCAATGTAACAAAAATTATCTTCATCGCTGGTTGCCAAAACAATACAATCAGCCGGAACTTCCTCATTATTGTAAACACGCAAAATGTCACCAACACGCACATTCTTCCAATAATTTCTACCAAACTTCAAGATCTTATCACGATGGCTGTGCGATCTATTGGTGGTTGATAATCGAAGTGCTTCTCCATACGATTCCACGTTGTCAAGTGAACTTCTTGGGGAGGCAACGTCACTATCAAAAGATTTTCTTCTGGTATCCACGGTTTCCTGTCTAGCTTTGTTTGCTCTTCCCTTTTTGGTGAAATTATTTTGAAAAAACTTGTATACCTTGATACAACCTCTAGTTGTTGCTTTTTTGAATTTTCTCCATAATGAAACTTTTTCTTCATGAACATTATCATTGTTGTATCGGTAGTCGGTAATATCAAAATTCACTTGTTCCAATATGTGTGTGTATTGATTATTGAACTCTGCATCTAAAACGGCTCTTCTGGAATCTTCAAATGCATCTTTGGCAGCTGTCACACAAACAATAACAATTAAAGGAACAGCAGCCAAACCAGGGGATGGTACCCCAAAGATCTGGAATGCCCCAAGAATAACGATAAGAAGGAAATATAAGTTGGCCACATTATGGGCAAACTGGTGAAAGATATTCTTGGGCAAAAATGAGAGCGGACTGTATTTGGTAGTTCGGATTTTGTTCCTACAGTAATCCTGGGGGAACTCTGTCAGTTTGTTGAAAACAATAGTTCTTGGGCTAGATATATCTGCTTTTTGTTTTTGTTTCTTATTTTTCTTTTTCTTACCAGGTGGAGGTGGTGTTTGATCTTGGTGTAGATTTGAATTATCTGGTAGTTGCTGCTTTTTGAAATTTCCAGGGGGGCTCTCCTCAGAAGAATAATTTGAAGAATCAGTCATGGTTTACTTGCCGGGGGGAAAATGAATATAACTGCTAGACAATAAGACAATGTTACCCTGTGTACTTGATAATGAACAACTATGAACAAATAAATAAATAAATAAATACTAAAAAATGAAGGCTAATAAATAAATAAACAAAGTTGTGGTTATTTTTTTGAATTGAGCTGAGTTTATCGAATTAGTAAAATCACTGTCAAAACAAAAAAAAAAAAAAAATTCCAATGGCTGTAATGGTAGTATTCCAGTACAATTGATTATTATGTACTGTATCTAATCTAGTTTTGTACGTGATATTTATTTTTTTCCCTCCGCTTCCTTTAGTAATATCGGTTCTATAATTAGATATATTTTCTATTATAGATCCTATCTGATTCTACTTGAGTTCTTATTCAATCAGAAATATCAAATCGGTTAAACTGAGAGAACAATTTTATGTGAAGAATAAACAGATACAAAGGGATTATGTTAGAAATTCCCAACACATGTCCTTAGCCGCATAGCACGGGGGGAGGCTGTTCATGTTATAATTTCCGATGATGGAAACACAAAAATTATACTTTTTGGTTTTTGAAAATTGGCTTTTTTTAAGGCAATCGGTAGATGTATCGGTATGAACCTTAACTAAGGAAATATGATTATTAAACTGTTAGCTTGTCAAATGGAAGTACATTTCAATTCATTCTTCTTATTTTTTTTTTTATCATCGACTTAGGTCTGGATTGCTACTCAACAACGTAGTCATTACGCCGGAACTGTTATTTTTGTGGTCGGGATAGTCGGATATATTTTTCTTTTTTTTTTTTCTTCTACGTCCTAGTTACGCGAATTACGAAAATTATATTAAATTGGGAACCCATTGATGCGCTATGAGCTTGTCAAATATATGGTTTCAATAAGTACCTGTTATGTACCATGTTAGAAACTATTTCTCTCTTAAAATAATACATTAGCTTCAAGTGTTTAAGAGAAAGTTTATTGATGTATTTTGTTTGGCATTTTTCTTTTTTTTTTCCTGCTGTTTCTGTGCAAAATTTTCACGAAATAGAATTTAATGTCAAGGATAATAACTATGAGTGTATTTATTTTCATTATTATGAATCAAACAAATGAAGGGTTCACCATAATAGTTTAAGATAAATATAACTTCCTGAATTGTATGTATAAACTATTACGGGGATACTCTTTGATTCTTTGATGTGTTGACACCAGTAATTGATGATTTCTATACAATTGAGTACATATTTATTGTGTAGACATATCACGTGACTATACATTATTAGTGGGTGTCTTTGAGAGGGCTGATTATCACTTCCAAGAGATTTCCTTTATAGTGTAGTGGCTATCACGGTTCGCTTTCAAATCCTCCTGGGTTTAAAGTTCCGAGCAGACCGGGGTTCGATTCCCCGTAAGGGAGCTTCTCCAATTTCCTTCATAGTGTAGTGGCTATCACGGTTCGCTTTCAAGCTTGTAAGAGTTTAAAAGTTCCGAGCAGACCGGGGTTCGATTCCCCGTGAGGGAGGAAATTACTTTTTTTACATTCATTAACAAATACGCACTCGAGATTCGTTCAGAAACTACTATAGCTAGTACTAGTGCTGGTGGTTTGTTAGTAGTTGGAAGAAGGAAAATGTCTTGGACTTTTATTTTTTAGTCTAAATACACAAAATAAAATATCTTCGGTGACAAAACTGATTTTTCCTTGGGTTCCTTATCGCACTGAACACAATATTGTAAGTGGATAGTAGTGGTAGATCTACAGACGTAATAGGGCCAGTGATTCTTCTTGTAATATCATCAAGAAACTCCTGACCTACGATACAACTCTTCTGGTCGATTATTTTTACTTAAACTTGGCCAGATTCATGTAGATTGGGGGGGGGAGTTGTTTATTTTTTGCTTTGCACACGAAAGTTGAAAGGATGGTTGTATTTGTTGAATTTGTAACATACACTACAGGACGTGAATTATACCCCATATTAATTGTACTTCATCATATCAAGAGTGTTTGAATTACTCTCTTGTACTGAAAGTGATATCAATACCATCAGTTTGTTGATTTCCTCGGAGTAAAGGGACATTTTATTAGAAGTTATCCGTGGAATTTTTTTTTTGCATATTGCATATTTCATGAAACATTGTGTATGATAGTGAGTGAGTGAGTGTGTGGATGAAGGAATAACTCGGAGTTTTGAACAAACAGACAACTAAATAATTAATGATTCGATTTTGGGTTTTTTTTTTCTTGCTTATTCTTATTCTCTGTGTAGTGAAAGCTTGCATATCGGAGTGGACGAGAAAACTAAGAAAAGTCATGTAATAGAATTAACCCCACAAAAAAAAAAATAAAAAATACTAGCCAATCAATTTTAAGTTTTGAAAAATATAATAGTCCTGCCCAACAAATTATTTATAAACCCATTTAAATATTGAACAAATTTTCTTAAATAAATCCATAATTAAAAATCTTTTGTAAAGTGTTCCAGTTTACTTTACTATTTAGTTTATTGACGATTGTACCATGACTGTTCAACAATACTACACGTTTGAGAACGAAGCAAAGTTACCAAAGATCCCGGTTCCTCTGTTGGTTTCTACTACTCAACAATTATTGGGATCTTTGAAACCACTTATGCCTCAAGAGGATTATTCTGATATTGTTAGTGAAGCTACTGAGTTTGTTTCTGATAGTTTAATCAATTTGATCCAAAAACATTTGGAAGCAATTGCGGAGAATGACAAGTACCCCAACTATTTGAATTTTGTGAATAATGATATGACTCCGTCAATTTATGGTGAGATTAGGGGTGATATTTTACCAAGAAATCCTTATCTTATTTTGGAAGAAGATCCTTATAGTAAAACTATCAACCCACCAAATCAAGCTCAAAGAGCAGCCAATTTGATCAATTCAAGTTTGAAATTTATTATCACTTTGAGAAATGAAACTTTGAAACCAGATATTACTCCTAAAAATGGTAACCCATTAACCATGAAATGTTACAGAAACTTGTTTGGTACCACCAGAATTCCAGAATTTGAGGAACATAATCATGATGTCAAAATGAGAAAATACAACCATATCAATGATTCTCGACATATCTTGATTATTTCCAACAATCAATTCTATACTTTGGAAGTCATCACTGAATATAAGGAAGATGAGTATCAAGAAACCAAATCAAAGCACAAGATTTGGTTCAATGATCATGAACTTTCTTTAATTTTACAACAAATCATTGATGAATCTAATAAAGTTGATGCTGTGAAATCTATTAACAACTCCATTGGTTCATTAACCACTCAAACCTTGAAACATTGGAAATTGGCTAGATTGGAATTGGAACAATCCAATACTGAAAATATCAAGAAAATTGATGATGCATTGTTTGTCTTGATTTTGGATTCTAATACTCCAGAAACCGATGGTGAAAAAACTGCTGTTATCTCCCATGGTACTTCTGTATTATCTTCTGATAATGTTCAGATTGGTACTTGTACTTCTCGTTGGTATGATAAATTGCAATTGATTGTCACTCAGAATTCCGTTGCTGGTGTTGTTTGGGAATCCATGTCTATGGATAGTACTGCTATTTTGAGATTCATTAGTGATATTTATACCGATTCAGTTTTGAAGTTGGCCAAGAATATCAATGGATCAGAATACACTTTGTTTGATTCCAACATTAGATTCGAATCTTCTTCAGTCAGCAAACCAGATGCAAAGATGATTCATTTCAACAAAACCAAGGAATTACAAAACATTATCCATCTTTCAGAAACCAGATTGGCCGATTTGATTAATCAACATGAGTATATGACCCATCGTATTAAATTGGATTCTTATTTGACTAGCAAGTTCAATCTTTCTGTTGATTCAATTATGCAAATTTGTTTCCAAATTGCCTACTATTCATTGTATGGTAGAGTTGTTAATACTTTGGAACCAATCACCACCAGAAAATTCATGGATGCTAGAACTGAGTTGATCCCAGTTCAAAATGATGCTCTTGCTAATTTGGTTAAGCTTTATATCACCAGTGCTAGTTCACTGGAGAAATTTGAGGCATTCAAGAAATGTTGTGAATTACATACTCGTCAATATCATGACGCCATGATTGGTAAAGGATTTGAAAGACATTTGATGACAATTATTCAAGTTATCAAGAAGCCAACAGCTGTTGCTAGATTAAATGAAGTTAATAAACATTTACCGCCAATTCCCGATTTAACCAAGGAAGCAATTGCCATTCCATTATTGTTGAATCCAGCTATTGATAAATTGCTGAGTCCAGAATTGTTGATTTCCAATTGTGGTAATCCAGCTTTGAGATTATTTGGTATTCCACCTGCTATTGATCAAGGTTTTGGTATTGGATACATTATCCATCGTGACAAAGTTTTGATTACTGTTTGTTCTAAACATAGACAAACTGAAAGATTTTTAGATACTTTCCATCGTGTTGTTCGTGACTTGAAAGTCAATTTGAGACAAAAGAGTAACTTTTTACTTTCTATCAGTGATTCTGAGCAAAGAAAACACGAGTTGCAAAGATTAAGAATTGAACATGAATTGAGTCACGTTTCATTAGATATTCCATCTATGAGACACCCAATTCCTTTAACAGTGGGTAAGAATGAAATCCCTATTGACAATGTTACTTTGAAAAAAGATGAACCAGATAATAATAATGATGATACCACCACCACCGGTGCTACCAAGAAATCAGATTCAGATGAAGATGATGAAGCTGATAATTTTGAATTGATGGGTGGTTATGGATATTTTGATTTTGGTGAATTAGAATTGAGATCAGATGAACTTTCAAGAAACGATTCTTACTTGAATAGTCAAACTCATTCTAATCTTTCTAGTGCATTAAGTTCAAGACGTCATTCATTTACAAACTTGTTGAAGATTGCCAGTAGAACCAATGCTCAAAATTATGATATCAAAGAGAAACAATCACTTTCAGAAAGAATCAGAGACAAATTATCCCACAGTGAAGATACATTACCTTCTGGAAGTGGATCGGCCATCGACTCTTCTGCCGATGAAGCAGAACCAGTAGAAGAAGAAGAAGAACCTACTAAAAAGAGTTCTATTGGTAGATCTTTGGACATGTCCAAATTTAACTAAAACTGTGTCTTTGATTTTTTTTAGGCTTATTTATTTGTATAGATTTGTTTTCAAACATTATAGGATTCTTTTTTTGTTTTTATCTTACCAATATCAATGTGTCACATGAAAGTTGAATGTATCGAATAAACACGCCTGAGATATACTATTGATAAAGATCATTAAACGTTTGCTCTATCTATGATAATGTAGTTAAACCTAACTTGTGATATTTCTTATATTTGGTTTCACAGTAAGTCTGAACAATAGTGTCTGGGTACGAGTTACGAATTTTTAAAGTTGTGTTTTATTTGGTTTTGTGTTTGATTACGTAAGGGAAGGAAGAGGGAATTTTTTATTTTATAATTCTGGATGTGCAAACTCCAATAAACCCAAGTTTCTTGGCTGACCCCCCCTCTCTGCGATAAGGAATGAGGACACCACACGGGTTGTAATGATCACAGCAAGGAAGAGAGAGAGAAAGAGAGAGAGGAGAAGGTTTGTAGATAAGAAGTATTCATCATATAGAAGAATAGATTGTGAATGAACGATTTAAGGGTTAACTCTTTTATCTTTTTTTTTTTTTTTCTCATACATACAAATCAATAGTGCATGAACCGTATAGAGCCTTGATTCATGTTCAGCGATGCAGGAAATTAGAATGATTATAAAATCAGGGAGTAACAAAGACACGTAGTGAACAACAGATGTCATAGTAATAATATGAACAATAGGCGGAACAGATAATAATGGAATAAAAAGAGAGGAAGGGATTGTAGTACATTACGGGAGAGATGTTGTAGAGGTTAAAATGTGTGCAGTAATTATACACAAATTAAAATTTTTCTAAAAAAATGTCATCAGTTTTATTCAAGCTCATGTAGCAATTGAACCTACATTAGAGTACACACACAGATAGTCTAATCATGAGATCTCATTCGTATCTGTTTGTTCCTTTTTTTTTTTAAGAATATATTGTTATCTCTACTGATGCCACGAGGACGATAAATGTGTTTCTTTTATATAGAATATGCTTTGTAACGACTGGAATGAAACCTGATTGGTTGATTTTATAAAGTCGACAAGAAATTTTTCTTTTTACAGGGAGATCGGCTCCTTAAACTTTGTTTGCCTGCCCCCCATTATCAGACTAATTGATTGTGTGCTATCTTTAATTAGCCGCCATTCCAACAATATGGCTTAGCATAAAATTTTTTTTTTTTTTTTTTTTTTTTGTTCATTCGTGTAACAACAATCTTGTATGCGTAATAGATAGCAAATAACATTACTCACATACATATATATAACCCACAAGTGGACGGTCTTTATTTGTTGATGAATTGGATGTTTTTTTTTTCATTTTAGTGTTGTTGTTCAGTATACCTATTCCTTTTTTTAGTGTATTCTGATTATCATCCCCTTTCATCCACAAAACTATAATCTTCATTACCAACAAACCTTACCAACTATCTTATTCAAACAGATCTTGTACTGTAGCCTATAGAGAGTACGTCATTGTAATTTCCACCTTAAAGATATCAGACACACATTATTATTATTATTGTTAATAAGAATATTATTATTGTTATTGTTGTGTATTGTCATCAAAAGAAATAATAATAATATCTTTTTGTCACCCAAAAATCATAATTTGGCTTAATCAAGTATAATAATATTCTATTTTATATTTATTCCTGTTTTTTCTTCCTATCATTGTTCCTTTTTTTAATTTTCACTTTTTTTTTTTTTTTTTTAAACTATTAATTTCATTTTCTTTTACTCGTTATGTCAAGTTCAGTGAAGAACTCCTTCAATCAAATGGTTACAGTAGACGATGACAGTACTATTCAAAGATCAAACTTATCTGCTACCCTATCATCATACACATCAAATGGGTCTTATGTGACGTCTTCAACCACATCTTCTAATTCAACATACCATAGAACTCCCAGAGAAGTTCTAGAGGATTTCATAGATTCATTCAAGTCCTTTGACTACTCAACATTACCTCCTGTTTATAACAACATCAGTGACCAAGAAAGTCATCTTCAGGTCAACCCCGCCAACCCCAATTTCGATTACTCCCGTTTCACACAACTTGAAAGAGATGCCCTAATAACATCTTGTTCCCCTTTATCAAAAAGACTACGTACAAGGCATTTGACTTGGATTTCTTTAGGAGCTTCTATTGGTACTGGTTTACTTATTTCTTCAGGAAGTTCTTTGGCTCATGCTGGTCCCTTGGGTTTAGTACTCGTGTGGCTTTTTGTGGGGTCAGTGATATTTGCAACTATGTCTTCGTTATCAGAACTAGCAACAGCATTCCCTGTATCTGGATCATTTACCACTTATTGTTCCTTGTTTATTGACAAGAGTGTCAGTTTTGCCATTTCCTGGAATTATGCCTTGCAGTGGTTGGTCACCCTACCGTTGCAAATTATCGCCGCATCACTCGCAGTACAATATTGGACCACATCAATCCATCCCGCGGTATTTGTTACCATTTTTTATGTGGTGATCGTGATAATAAACCTTTTTGGAGTGTATGGATATGCCGAAATTGAAATGGCCATCAGTATTATCAAAGTAATTGCCGTGATTGGCTTTAATATCTTATCTATAATTATTGTCACAGGTGGCGTTCCAGGTCAACCATATATCGGTGCAAAAAATTGGCAAAAACCTGCTGGTGGGTTATTCAACACCGTGGAACCTTTTAAACAATTATGTTATATTGTTACTAATGTTGCATTTGCCTATGCCGGGGTAGAACTATTTGGTTTGGCTGCTGTTGAAAGTTCAACTCCGAAGAAATCGATTAATCAAGCAAGAAAACAGATTTTTTACCGTTTGTTGGTTTTCTATATTTTGACCATTATCTTGATTGGATTTGTCGTGTCCTATAAACTTCCCGAGTTACAAGATACCGGAAGATTTGGGTCCAGTGTCAACGGTTCTCCGTTTGTAATTGCTATAAAGCATGCCAAAATCAACGCCTTACCATCGATTATGAATGCTGTTGTTATTTTAACGGTTCTTTCGGTTGGTAATGCTTCTGTTTATGCATCTACCAGAGTATTATGTGCCATTGGTGCTTTACAACAAGGTCCAAGCTTCTTAAGTTTTATTGATAGAAAGGGTCGTCCTATGGGATGTTTGTTGGTACAGTTTGCCTTTGGGTTGTTGGCTTATTTGATATGTATTCCAGGAGAAGATACATCGGTGCAAATTTTTGATTGGTTATTGAGTTTATCGGGGTTAGGAGCCCTATTTACATATTTATCGATCAATATTTGCCAATTGAGATTCAACCGAGCATTAAAACATCAGGCCAGAATACCCAAAGATGAATTATTATACGTATCTCCATTATGGTGCTCATGGTACGGAATTGTGACAATTGTGGCCATCTTGGGGTTGCAATTCTGGGCAGCGTTATTTCCACCAGGTAAACATAAGGCAGATGTCGAAGGATTCTTCAAGATATATCTCGGAGGACCGATTTTGTTTCTTTGTTGGTTGGGCCATAAAATCTTTGCCTGTTATTATCACAAAACACCACTAACCAAATTTTGGTTTACCGTTGAAGAAATAGATGTGGATACTGGTAGAAGACAAGTTGATTTAGAGGCAGTCAAACAAGAAATAGCAGAGGAACGTATTGTCATGGAATCAAAACCATGGTGGTATAAAGTTTACAAGACATTCTGTTAGTAATCTCTTATTTATTTATTCATATATATATATATATATATATCCGTGTAGTATTTATTTTAAATATTCTTCAGGCACAAAACCGTAGGATACAACCGAATGAAAAGCCAAATCTCCTATACTCATTGCTATTTATTTAATATTTCTTAACTCCTTCGGATCATTACCGACCATTAGTTCTGGTTAAAGGTTAGTCCTGATGGTTAGCCGTGTTGATTTGTAAGCTCTTCTCATCTATTTAACGTATTTCCGACCTAATAAGGCAAAAAAAAGAAAAAGACTCCATAGTTATTTATTTTTGGTTTTTTCCGGATGCGAAAAAGCTTACTGTACATTTTTGTTAAGCTTTTTTTTTGTAGTTTTGTATTTTTGTAAGTGTTTGGTTATGGTACCAAAAAACTGGACGCAAAAATAAAACTTGGGGCGGCAGGAGAACGAACTACTACAGCCCAGAAGCAACATTGAAGCCAACACACTACGCTACACTACAGAACAGAACAGAACAGAACAAAACAGAACAGAACTTGTTGTACGCTACAGTACTGTGAAAGAAGCAACATCAAAAAAAAAAAAAAAAAAATTCTACAATATTTAACCCATTGTGCATAAAAACAAAAAAATTAATAAATTTGACAAATCCTACATTTTTCATCCCAACTTCGACTATAAATACTCTAATGACAAACTCCCACTCTCTCCTAAATTTCCGGACATGTGATACCTAACCAGCGTCCTTTTACTTCTTTCTATTAATCATTCTATTCAAGAACTACTTGTCTGTTAATTTCATCACCAATCCATATTCATTTCACTTTATTTTCTTGTGTTGATTATTGCTGCTCTTTAGTTCTGTTGTTACTTAATTTTTCCTTTCCCCATTCTTCAATCTAATGAGTTCAAAAATGTCAAGTGAAGAAGATTCTCTGCAAGAACCAAAAACCTTGACTCCTGGAGTAAATATTCCTCCAGAAGATACAACTCAAAACCATCCTCATTATCATGCTATGGCCAATGCTGTGAATGATCGTCGTCATTCCATGTCTAATAAAATTCATAAAGGGTTCTCATTCTTTAGTCGTCGATTCGCTACCCAAAGAAAGAAAATTGCAGCTCGTTTTGCTTTGAATTATCTCATTATGTCGGTGGGTATCTTGGGGATTTTCTCTATTTATTGGGGTTCATTTTATAAAATTGATGGTAGAGTTAAAAATATGAATAATTTGGTTGTTATAGAAGATGTTGATACCATTGATGGAATCCCACCACTTTTTGGTACTACTTTAAATGAGGTTGTGAGTTCACCAGAAGGTAGATATAGAGGTAACTGGCATATTTACAACATTACTGCTTTCAGAGAAATGGCCGAATCAAATAATCTTACTGTTTTTGATCAAATTGCAAAATTGATTCATGATGAAAAGTATTGGACATCACTTTACATTCCACCTAATGCTACTTACAACTATTACACGGCCATCACAGAAGGTAATGGAGATTTCAACCTTTCTGGAAACGGTGTGATTTCAATCTATGAAAGTGCCAGACACTCATTTGGTATGAGTATTTGGGGGCTTCCTTCCCTTCAAGCGGTTGAGGGTCTTTGGCTAAGTGCTCAATCAAAAATGGTTGGTGGTATATTTGGTAACACGACTTTAACATCACAAACTCAAATAGAACTACTTGGTACTCCCTTACAATTCAGAAGACTTGATAATGTTCAATATAACTTGGCCATTTATGTTGGTCCATTCCACGATGGTATCATTTATTTGACCATTTTATCAATTATGAATTTGGATTTCTTTGGTCCATTAAACATGGCTGTTGCCAGACTGGGAATTAAACGTTCACATTTCTTAATCTTTAGATACCTTTCTTCTGTGATTTCATTTTTCATTATGAGTTTATGTGCATGTTTGGTCACATTAGCCTTCCAAGTCCCATTTACAAACTCTTATGGTAGAGGTGGTTTTATGGTTTATTGGATGATTACATTCTTGGATATGTGGGCTCTTGGTGCTATCAATGAACTTGTGGGTATGTTTATTCTTACAATTTATCCACCATTGCTTCAATTCTGGGTTCTTTTCATTATTATTGCTAATATTACTCCAACATTCACACCAATTGGTCTTCTTCCCAAATTCTTCCGTTATGGTTATGCCATGCCTTCACACAATTACTACGAAGCAATTAAAACAATTTTCTTTAGAACTACAAGAAGACAATTGGGTAGAAACATTGGTATTTTGGTTGCATGGTTTAGTACATTATCAATCGCTTTCCCTTGTATGACAATTTACTACCTTAATGCCATGGATAAGAAAGAGAAGAAACAAGTTTGTAAAGTAATTGATGAAGAGAAAAAGGGACCTGAAGAATGCGAACCTTAGTTTTTAGAGTAATTTAGAGATTGTTGTTGTTATAGTTTAGATTATATACGGGAGTATTTTATGAATATCATACGTTTGCATTTTGTTTTTTTTGTTGTTCATGTTAGCTAATCATTATTAATTACATCATCTACTACTACGAGGCTGGAGCTCGATTACAATCGGCCCCTTCGGGGAGGAATCCGATCAATCAGACTATTCTTATACATGTAGATGGGGTTATTAGGGACACTGACACATTACTAAAATCAACATAGTCTGAAACCACCAATGTTATCTCCGTTTTTAATAATCGGTATTGATTTTCCGCTGCCGGAAGTGATTGTCTTTTGGGACACATGTTTGACAATCGAGATCAACATGATTATAAAAATCTCAAGTTGAATATTGTTGTATGAACTATGTTATTCGGAGTTTCCGGTGGAAGAGAAAATTGTTGAATATAAATAGCACTAATAACCTGCATCAAGATGCATGTTTCCAGCAACAATTTATACTTTAATCAGATACGAAATCTTCACTCTGATAGGGGCTACAACTTTTGAACGAGTTCGTACTTCATTCAGAAAAGGACTTCTATGTGTGTGAGACCATGAGCCACACGTGATGACATTACCTTATTTCTCAATATATTTTTTTTTTCTTAGCATCGTATGACATTAGAGTATATGTCTAAAAAAAAAATAATAATCCGATTGCATTAACGTGAAACCCTTAGAAGTAATTACAAAATAAATAAAAAGAACAGATAAATTTCTTTGATATCTAAATCGGTTTTTAAAGTATTCATAATTAACGACATTACTGCATCTATTAATGTAATCTCCACCTTTTTTTGGTTTCACAGCATTCACTAGTTTTGTTTCTTAACATTTTCTCTGAAATTTGTGCCGTACCTTATCACATTTTGTGATTCACTTTAAAAACTCAATCTTTCCGCAGGTGATGCAAGACATTTAACGCCGTTTGGTAAGAAAAATTTTTCCTTCTCTATACGATAAAGCCTCGAAATGATCCGAGTAATTTTAATTCAGTTTTAGTTTCAAATTAAACTCATCGAGAAGGGGGAGACAGGAGAAGGAAATAAAAACTATATATTAATCCATAATTGAATATCAACTTTATCTTGTTCATTCTTATTAATTTTTTTTTTAAGATTTTTGCAGCTTTTATATCTTAGCTACTATTTCCATTAGCAACCAGAATATATAATGTCAAGGAGTATTTCCGACGAGAAGGACCAAGAGAAAAATGTGGGAATTTCTACCATAGATAGAGAGAAAGCTTTACTCAATGGAGATGATGAAAGTACTACCCAGATAGGAACAACCAAAGAAGCCGATAATTGGGTTGATAAAATTGGTCTTCGTATTAATGCAGAAATCAGAGGTATTGAAAGAGTTCCTGAAGAAGAAAGAACTGATACTTCATTATTATCCCCATTATTCATTTTCTTATCACCAAATATGGTTATCAGTGGGTTGTCCATTGGATCATTGGGTCCAACTGCTTTTGATTTAGATTTTAGAACCAGTACCATTATTATTTGTATTTGGTGTTTCATCGGTGCTTGTTGTACAGGTATTTATTCTGCATTTGGTATGAGATTTGGATTAAGACAACAAATTTTATCTCGTTATTTCACAGGGAATATCATGGGAAGAGTATTTGCATTATTCAATGTTATTTCATGTATTGGGTGGAATGCCGTTAATGTTATTCCTTGTGCACAACTTTTAAGTGCTGTTGGACCTTTACCACCATGGGCTGGTTGTTTAATTTTGGTTATTTGTACTTGTATTTTCGCTGTGTTTGGATATAAAACTGTCCATTTATATGAAAAATACGCATGGATTCCTAATTTTATTGTTTTTATCATCATTATTGCTAAATTTGCTCCAACTCATTCTTTCAGATGGGGAGAAATGAAATCCGGGGAAACAGAAATAGGTAATGTATTAAGTTTCATTGCCGTTATATTTGGTTTAAATGCTGGTTGGATTCCCCTGTCTGCAGATTACACAGTTTATATGCCATCAAATTCTAATCCTTGGAAAGTTGCCTCAGCTATGGTTATTGGATTGACTTTACCTACTATTTTTGCCTGTGTCTTAGGTGCAGCTATTGGTACTAGTGTTTCTATTGACGGATCAAGATTTCAAACAGCTTACAATGAAAACTCTATTGGTGGGTTAGTTTATGAGATCTTATGTGGTGATAATAACAATCAAGGGTACAGGTTTATCATTGTTGTTTTTGCATTGGGTGCTGTTTCTAACAATATGCCGGGTTCATACTCGTTATCATTAGCCATTCAATGTATTTGGAGTCAATTTGCTCGTGTTCCAAGAATTGCTTGGTGTATTATTGGTAATTTGGTTTCTTTAGCTTTTTCCATTCCAGCATACTATAAATTTGAAGCAGCATTATCGAATTTCTTATCCATTATTGGTTACAATGTTTCCATTTATTTAAGTATGTCCTTGGCAGAACATTTTATTTACAGAAAAGGATTTTCAGGTTATGATGTTAGTGATTTCAACAATCCAAAAACTCTTCCCATCGGAATAGCTGGTGTGGTTGGGTTCTGCTTTGGAATTTGTTCTACAGTTCTTTCAATGAATCAAACATGGTACCAAGGAGTCATTGCTAGACAAATCGGAGAATATGGTGGTGATATTTCATGGGAGTTGAATATCATTTTTGCCTTTGTTGGTTACAATTTAGCTAGACCATTTGAATTGAAATACTTTGGTCGTTAATATCAGAAGAGAGTTTACAATAATATACAAAAGAGTCGTCACCTGTCGACTGACAAGCTCTTCCATTGTTTGTGAAGAATAAAAAGGGTTTCCTCTAATGTTGACTAAAGACAATTTTTCATCCTGCCAAGATCGTGCTGGTCACGTGCTGTTGCAGAATGATGATTGCCATTTTCCAATGGTGGTTTTTGTGGTTAGGTTACCCCCGGAAATACAGTGTAGTGCTCCGGAATAATATAGAATTAATTTGTCGAACTTTAATTTTGTGTTACCTTAAGAAAAAAAATTTACCTGGCTAATAAATTATTGAAATTGATTTTATTGCTACTCTGTTCAATCAACAATTGATTGACTTGTATTATCTTAGTAATGTGTTCTATGCTTGTTAATAATCTCTGTTTTCAAGTCCTATCAGGGATTAATCATAACCTGAAGTGATGAGCCACTTCCCATAGAATTCAAAGAATTTGTGTCAAATATTTCTTCTCTGGATTTTGTTTGTGGCATTTAATTAAACATTGGATGGGGAGGGGGGGGGAGGAATGGGAGAGGAAGGCGATTGTTGTGTTGAATTTCCGCCTCGGTCGTCGACCTATCAAATGTTCCGATACCCCCTTCTCTTTGTCTCTCTCTCTCTCTCTCTCCCCCTTTTTCTGGTTCTTTGCTCCTTGCGATGATTGTTCGATTCTGTCTGGATTAGTAACAAAAGCCCTCCATAGCAAACTTACCAATACGATGTGAGCAAGGAGTTTAGGTGTACAAAATTATGCACCAGTAAATTCTATGCATTATTTTTGTCTTGTCTTAAGATAATTTACATAAATATTACAAATGGTTAGTTTGATTCAATTTAGGGATAACTAGTAAATGAAATTTCCGGACTAAACAATTTAAATTTTTCCTTCTTTCATATTCATCTAAGAAAAAGAAGTAATTTTTAATATATTATTTATTAATACATTTAACTCCTTCTTCTTCTTCTTCTTCTTCTTTTTCTTCTTTTTGCTGACGACAACTAGTTGGGAATATTTTCAAACAATTGAGTTCTACTGTTTTTTTTGATAAGTTCAATTCAAAGATCCTTAACTTCTCTCTTGCTTATACTTGCTAGACTTTAAATTTCAGTGGATTTCCTTATCTAGTTTAAATTTTTCTTCTTTTTTTTCAACAACTATCCCCCCGTTTTTTTTTTTTTTTTGTTTAGAGAAACATATCAATTTAAAATCAATTATCATGGTTCACTTTGATGCAGAAAAGGAGAGAATGCAGGACATTACCTGGCGTCAATTCGGGCTGTATGTTGCGGAAAGACAATGGGCCACTGTTCGTGAAGATTATAGTGCTGATGGTGATGCTTGGTCATCCTTTAGTTTCGATGATTCCAAAAGTCGTGCCTACAGATGGGGTGAAGACGGTATTGCAGGTGTGTCTGATAGAAAACAATTCATCAACATTACAATGGCATTGTGGAATGGTAAAGATCCAATTCTTAAAGAAAAATTGTTTGGGGTTACCAATTCCCAAGGTAACCATGGTGAGGATGTCAAAGAACAATATTACTACCTCGACAACACTCCAACCCATTCTTACATGAAATACTTGTACAAGTACCCACAAAATGAGTATCCTTACAAGCAATTGGTTGAAGAGAACCAAAAAAGATCAAGATTGGAAAGAGAATTTGAAATCACTGATACTGATTTATTTAAAAACAATGAATATTTTGATGTTGTATTTGAATCTGCAAAGGGTGATCATCCTCATGATTTATACTTTAGAATCACTGCTTATAACAGAAGTGATAAAGCTGCTCCATTGCATATCTTACCCCACTGTACCTTGAGAAACATCTGGGCATGGGGAAGTGATGAATATGTTGACATTGACAAACCAAGTGTTACAAAAGTCGATGATTACACTATTGAAGTTAATACTCAAAAATTTGGTAAACGTTACTTGGCATTTGCACCTTCCCCTGGTGTAACCGAAAATGATCCAGATATTGAACCAGAGTTGATTTTCACTGAAAATGAAACCAACACTCAAAGATTGTACAACCAAGAAAACAAGCACAAATATGTCAAGGATGGTTTCCATGATTATGTTGTTGATAAAGAAAAAGGTGCCGTTAACCCTGATAAAACCGGTACCAAAGCTGCTGCTTGGTTCACTTTTGATAATGTTCCAGCTGGTGATTATGTCACCATTCGTTATAAGTTCACCAGAGACAAGAGCGAAGTTGATGAATATGAATTGGATCAAATATTCACCCAACGTCAAGCCGAGGCTGATGAATTTTACTGGAAAGTCAGTCCATTCCCACTTTCTGAAGATCTTAGAAGTATTCTTCGTCAAGGTTTTGCAGGTTTGCTTTGGACCAAACAATTCTATTATTTTGCCCATAACTACTGGGCCAATGGTGATCCAAACACCATTAAGCCACCAATGAATAGAGCCAACGGTAGAAACAAAGAATGGGGACATTTGTACTCTGACGAAGTTTTATCTTTACCTGACAAATGGGAATATCCATTCTTTGCTGCCTGGGATTCTGCATTCCACTGTATTCCATTTGCTATGATTGATCCGAATTTCGCCAAAAATCAAATTTCTAGTTTACTTCGTGAATGGTACTTGCATCCAAATGGTCAAATTCCTGCTTATGAATGGAACTTTAGTGATGTCAATCCTCCAGTTCATGCCTGGGCCGCTTATCGTGTTTTTAAACTTGAAAGAAAAATGCATGGTAAAGAAGATATTACATTCTTGGAATCCACTTTCCACAAGTTGTTGCTTAACTTCACCTGGTGGGTTAACAGAAAGGATGCTGAAGGTAGAAATGTCTTGAAGGTGGTTTCTTAGGTTTGGATTATATTGGTGTTTTCAATAGATCTGAAGATTTACCAACTGGTGGTAGTTTGGAACAAGCCGATTCCACCGCTTGGATGGCTTTCTATTCTTTGCAAATGTTGAACATTGCTCTTGAATTGGCAAAAACCAGACCAGTTTATGAAAGTATTGCTTCCAAGTTTTTCGAACATTTTGTTATCATCGCGGATGCCATGTCATATACCGGTGGTGATGGTGGTGAAGAAATTTCTCATGATTCTTTGTGGGATGACAATGATAAGTTCTACTACGATTCTATTAGATACGATGATGGTTCTGTTGAATCATTGCACGTTAGATCATTGGTTGGTTTGATTCCATTGTATGCTTCCTTGACTTTGGAGCCTGATCTTTTGGACAGATACCCAAGATTTAAAAAACGTTTGAACTGGTTCTTGGAACACAGAAAAACCATGTCTGAAAGAAACATTGCATCTATGGAAACTAGAGGTGTTGGTGAAAGATTATTATTGGCCTTGGTGTCCAAGGAAAGATTGCTTGCTATTTTGGATAGAATGTTGAATGAAGATGAATTTTTATCTGATTATGGTATTAGATCATTATCCAAACACCACAAGGATCACCCATATGTCAAAGAAGTCAATGGCCAACGTTTTGAAGTTGCATATTTGTCAGGAGAATCAGATTCCGGTATGTTTGGTGGTAATTCCAACTGGAGAGGTCCTATTTGGTTACCAACCACCTTTTTGTTGGTGGAAGCATTGCAAAGATTCTACTTGTACTATGGTCCAGATTTGAAGGTTGAATGTCCAAAAGGATCTGGTGATTATTTGAACTTGGCTCAATGTGCTCAAGAAATCCAACACCGTGTTATTCGTATCTTTTTGCCAGATGAAGAAGGTAACCGTGCTTGTAATGGTGACAATGACACTTTGAACAAAGACCCATACTTTAAGGACTATGTTCCATTTTATGAATATTTCGATGGTGATACTGGTAGAGGTTTGGGTGCATCACATCAAACTGGTTGGACTTCATTGGTTACCAAATGGATTCATGACAATGCAGCAGCCAACAGAATGCCAAAGACACCTGCCACTCCAAAGAATAGAAAGAGTGAATCTGTTATTTTGCATGAAACTGAATCTGCCGATGCTGCCACTGAAGAAGAATATTTTAAGCATGCTCCAAGAGCAGGTCCAATTCCAGGAAGTTTAGGTAGAAGAAAATCTGGTAAATCATTGTTGAACTTGACTGTTAATGCTTTGGATTTGAACGATGATGAAGAACATGCCACTACTAAAGCTGCCGTTGCTTCTGAAATTGGTGAAAGACATATCACTGAAGAAGAATTGAATAAATTACAGAAGGTTCAATCTGGTGCTTCCATAGATTCTGGAGAAGCTGCATTAGTTGACCACGATTTGTTAGAACAAGTTAAAGCTGCTTTTAAGAAATATAGATCTAGAGGTGATGAATGTGATGGTGATGAAGTTGAAACTAGATGTTCCTATTTGTAAAGCATAGTTTTATGAATAACGTAAATGTTTTTGGGGCCGTTTATAGTGTTTTTTTTTTGATTATTATTATTATATATTATATACTTTTTGTTAATTCTTATATTGATTGATTTTTTTTTTCTATTTCTGGTTTTGCGGCACGACTTGTTTGGATTGTAAGAAATAATCGAATAAAAGTAGTAATCTACTCGTAGTGATTAAAATGAAAATAAATTGAATGATTCGTTAACTATAAACATATCTGTAGAAACTCTCCAGAGGAGAATATAACACTTACTAAATAGAGAAGTTAAATCAAAAGGGATTGGATACAACGAATGAGTATAATATAATCTGCGAACGTTTCGTTAACATTAAGAGGGGAAATCTTATCCTGAAATTTGTTTATGGATTGTAATCATTCTATAATGTAAGGTTAGAGACATTGGAGTTTCTAGAATTCTTATTGATTTCTATTCAAAGATAAACAACTAAAGAGAAGGGGAATGGACTCCTATTCATAGACAATCCATTCCAGAATCACATGTAAAGGACAGCTCACACATGTAAAGGACAGCTCACACGTGTGGAGAGGGGATTTCAATGGGTAGGTAGGTATTACCCGGCATGTATATTTGATTATAAATAGAGAGGAATTTCCTTTCATTTCGAAGAAACTTTGAATATAGGGAGATTAAGGATTTTTGAATATAAATTAGTGTTTTTATAACTAATTTATTTCAACCCTTCACTTTAGTGCATTTCACTCATTGTAAGTGAATGCCTTTAGACTACTATTTATCGTAATTGATAAATTGGCCTTGTCGCTTAACTATCTGCTTCGTTGTTAGCTAACTATGGACAAGTATGTTAAATACAACTGTTCCTTAAGAAGTTATCGGCACAAGCACTGGTTTCAAGAATTGTATGCTTTCTAGAGTGTTTTGTCCACATTTAAAGAGAGGATCTTTTTCAGCGATAAATAGTGGTCCCTAGAAGACTACTATCAATTACAGACCAAAGTTACAAGTTAGAATCCTTAGAAAAAATTCCATTACTGGGAACCTATACAAGGGGAATGCTAAAGAAATTTCATCAAAGAAAATGATGATACCTCACTATAAAAAGGAAAGAATTCTCCCAAGAATACATCTGGTAAAATTGAGAAGTAATAAATCAACACAATAAATACATCTCAAACTATGATTCATAAAATCACTAAACCAAAAAGACAATCTATTAACATTACCATCAACTTATCCAACATTAATAGTGTTTACTTTAACACCAACGAAAACACAACTAGAAGAAAGGAAAAAGAAAATGATAAGGTTGAAGGGGTTGATTATGAGGACTTAGTTGATCAAAATGCTAACCCAGATCAGGAAGAAAATAATGAGGAGAACTATGATGAGGATAACTCTGGTTACCAAAACACCAATGAAGGACCTGTCCCAGGTGACTCGGGAAATGTTAGAAATGAAGACGCTATTCCTAAAACCAGGGAAGAACTTATTTGTAGTAATCAAATAGATGTAGAATAATACCAAATGAATATATAATTAAGTTAGCGAATTAGTTAGATAGATAGTTATGTAAAAGTAGCACCTAAAATGTGCAGAATAAAGGGGGAAGTCGTCCATTTAAATAGACGACGCTATTGAAGAACGCTTCACAACCAAATGTAAATTGGTCGTGTAATTCCTAAAATTTCAGGATAAGATTTCCCCTCTTAATGTTAACGAAACGTTCGCAGATTATATTATACTCATTCGTTGTATTCAATCCCTTTTGATTTAACTTCTCTATTTAGTAAGTGTTATATTCTCCTCTGGAGCGTTTCTACAGATATGTTTATAGTTAACCAATTTATTTTCCTTTTAATCACTACGAGTAGATTACTACTTTTATAAGATTATTTCTTACAATCCAAACAAGACCCGTATAACAAAGGCCAAAAAAGGTATTGTTACTATTTTTAGTAAAAGCTCAGATCAAACAAAGCATCCTTTATAGAGGGGAATTTCCTTTCATTTTGAAGAAACTTTGAATATAGGAGATTAAGGACTTTTGAATATAGATTTGTATTTTACAACTATTATATTTTGACCCTTCACTTTAGTATATTTCACTCATTGTAAGTGAATGTTTTTAGACTACAATTTATCGTAATTGATAAATTGACCTTGTCGCTTAACTTTCTAATTTCTTGTTAGCTAACTATGGACAAATATGTTAAATACAACTGTTCCTTAGGAAGTAATCAGTGCAAGCACTGGTTTCCAGAATTGTATAATTTAACATTATTCAAGAATTGTATGCTTGGTAGAGTGTTTTGCTCACATTTAAAGAGAGAATCCTTTCCAGTGACACCAAAGCAAAAAAAAAAATAAAAAAAAATAAAGAAAAAGATAAATTACACTCAAACCTACGTCGTCCAACAATAAGAAACCATGTCTGAATCATTTGCAACATATGAATCTGAATTCCAATTATCCATACAAGAAGCACAATCCAAGATTTCACAAATCAACTCAGTTGATGCTGGTATGTACTATTATTACTACTATTAGGGAGTAATTTGCCTTACTCCTGGGTGATAAAGAACCATTACTAACATGGAATAAAAAATTTTTTGTTTTAGAACAACGTAAGACTTATTTAAAAGCAATTGAAGGATTAAATGAAGAATCAAGAGAATTATTAGATCAAATGAATATTGAAGTTTCAAATATACCATCAAATCAAAGATCTTCATACAATTCTAAAATTCGTCAATATAAATCACAATTAGATGAATGTCAAAATACATATAATAATCTTTTAGATTCTCAAGATAAATATGAATTATTTGGTAATAAGAATTATTCTAATGGAATTGAATCAGATCAAAGAAAACAATTATTAAATAATAATTCATCATTAGAAAGATCATCACAAAGATTATTTGATAGTCAAAGAATTGCTCTAGAAACTGAAAATATTGGTAGTAATATATTAAATGATTTAAGATCACAACGTGAACAGATTAGTAATTCAAGAAATACTTTAACTCAAGCTGATAATTATATTGATAAGTCAATTCAAACTTTAAAAGTTATGAGTAGAAGATTGACTGCTAATAAATTTATAAGTTATGGTATTATTGCGGTTTTGATTTTATTAATATTTTTAGTTCTCTATAGTAAATTTTCATAGGTTATTATTTATGTTTTGTTTAGGTGTAAATTTGATATTTATGGGTCTTTAGGCTAATGACTCAATTATTAGATGTCTATGAATCACTACTGGTGAGAAAAAAAAAAATAAAAAAACTCGACGGATTTACGCAATTTCGAAAGAGAGCAAAAAAAAAAAAAATAAAGACGCACAGAGGAAACTCATAGAAAGAGTGAGAGACAGAAAAAAAAAAAAAATTGCAGAATATTTCAAATCAAATCTAATTTCTAGAAATACTTCATCATTAGAACAGGGGAGGAATACTACTACGATGTTTAGACTTATATCTCGAGTTGGAATACGTAATTATCCAAAACAGTTATCTTTAATCCACAGACCAACACAATTTACTTTTAAATCATTTCATACTACTCCAATAAACCTTCATGGACATCTCAAGAAACCAAACCCTGGTGAAGAATTAAAAATTACATTTATAACTAAAGATGGTAAACAATTAACTTATGAAGTAGCTGAAGGTGATAATATTTTAGATATTGCTCAAGCTCATAATTTAGATATGGAAGGTGCATGTGGTGGATCTTGTGCTTGTAGTACATGTCATATTATTGTTGATCCTGAATATTATGATGAAATACCTGAACCTGATGATGATGAAAATGATATGTTGGATTTAGCATTTGGTTTAACTGAAACTTCAAGATTAGGTTGTCAAGTTAAGATGTCTAAAGAATTAGATGGTATTAGAGTAGCATTACCTGCTATGACAAGAAACTTACAATCAAGAGATTTTAACAAATAATTGGATAATAGTACATAGGAGGTGTATTTCTTTGTTGTCGCTGATGTTGTTGTAAATAGTCTTTCCCTTTAACGGACCCAGAGATTCATAATAAAGGTTAATCGTTTTATTTTATTTATTCACTAAATTAAGTTGTGCTATCTATGGAATATCGATTCTTTTACCTCTACATAACCCATTATCAATGACATTTCTCGCAAGATCATAACCAAACCTATCCTGTTCTCCTGTATGTCCAATGAAAAAACACAGCAAGTTATTAGGAAATTCAGTTAATCTACTTGTTAATTCACTAGACTTGATTTTATTATCTGTCATATCAATTTCAACCATATTATCATGCATGGTTAGGTCTTTATTATGACCAATCATTTGTGCTGTCAAGCTGGTTAATTTATTCAGACATAAATTGAGCACCGTTAGTTTTGTTGTGAGATTCTTGGGGAACGTCAAATTTAATGACTTGATGGAGTTGAAGGACAAATCGAGGGTTTTGATGTTGATGATATTGAATTGGTAGTTGAATTTTGTGAATTTATTACTCGACAAGTGTACTGTTTTAAGACATTCCAAGTTTTCAAGAACAGAAAGGGGTAAGCTAGACAACTTGTTCATGGATAAGTTTAGGATTTCAATAGAAGGAGGTAGTTTATTCTCAAAGACAGTTAATTGATTCTGTGATAAGTTTAAATATTTCAATTGTGGATGCGAAGAACCCCATGTCACATTTTCAAATTTCTTTAATTCACAGCCACTGATACCCAATTCCATTAATGTTGGAGGAAATTCGATACCAGAAACACTTGATATTCTGCAGTTGTCAAAATTTAAAATCTTCAAATGATTAGGTAATTTAATACAATCAAACTTGCTTAATTTGTTATAGTTAAGATATAATATTTCAATCATTAACTCCTCACCTTGAGAATTACAACTTAAATCAACACTTTCTATTCTGTTTTCAGTTAAATGAATGGTTTCAATACCCGCCGGAAGATTTGGTTTGTCGACGGTTTTTATTGAATTGGAACCAATACCTAGATTTTTCAAACTTTTAGGGAAATAAACTTCCTGTAATGATCTGATCATATTGACTTCTAAAGACAACTCTTCAACAGAATCAGGGTACGTGATTTTTGGGAAATGATCACCAATCGATGTATTTGACAACTTTAAAGATTTCAAATTCTGAAATCGTTTAAAATTTGGAATGTACAATGTCCAGTCAATTGGATTATCAGCTAAATTTAGTGTCTTTAATTTTGTTGCCAGAGTAATGTTTTTATCAATCGGGAGTAAATTTTTAATGTTATTGAATGACAACGATAATCGTTCTAAGTTCTCCGGGAATTTATAATTATCAAAAATACTTTGGTCATTCAATTTCAGTATATTCAAGCTTTTCAAATTGGAGCACATGCTTAACGGTGGACAGAATCCAGTAAGTGAAACTTTCGATAATTGTTGGCAACAAGGTTGAACTTCAGGACATTTGAATATTTCTTGTTCAATATCAAGCAAAAAATTTCGAGAATTCCAAATTGAATCAAGACTAAGTTCTTTCAAGGTTCCACTGACTAAACTCTTCAATATCACTTCTTTTACAAAATTGTACTCTTGATCTGGATCTTTTACTCTGATTCTTCTAAGTTCAATGGATGACATATGACTGCCTGAATGAATTGCTTTCACGGAACAATCACCTAAAAGTAGACTATTAAGGAATATTGGAAGGTTTTGGTTCACTTTAACTTGACGATTATTATTCCAACCAAATTTGTTAGGATACAAGTGTATTGTATTTAAAGATGCTGGGAAGGGACCAATGAATTTGATATTGCTATCTTCAAACCAAAGTATTTCCAAATTTGGAAAGTTCATATCATTGAATATAAATGTTCCACTATAGTTGTATACCATTATAGCATTAACAGAAGGACCAATATGGTCACCAATGATATTAAATAAATAATTCAAACTGAAATTGTACAAGAAACCCGGGAACCAAATTCAATTTTCTAGGGTTGTATCGGATCAAATAATTTGGCAAATTTGAAATCAATGCCACCATTTCAACCAAATCGGCCAATGACCAAACATAATAACTCAATGTCAAAACAATTGGAAGGTTCTCATGAATACAATAATGAACCAAAGGTTCAACATCATCCTCATTGATAAACAGCAAATTGTCTTTATCAAGGTAAGTTTTAGTCCTTTTATACATATGAACAAATGAATATTGTATGAATCTATTATTATATGATATAGTACTACTTGTAATCAATCCATTGGTTGCAGTTTTAAGGTTTGGGTTTGATTTTAAAAAAAATTCATGGGAGACTAACTGGATAACATTTTCTAATCTTGCATAATCTAGTATTCTGGTGAGAACTTCAATGGGTAAACTATCCAATGATATTTGATAGTTTAATGACATTTAAAACTATTAAGTGTAGAACCGTGAAAAAAAGAAAGAAAGATAAAAAAAAGAATTGCTATATTAAAAATAAAAAAAAGGAAAGAAAGGCAATTACTTATTGGTATATATACCACTGTATAATCAACCCTCGAAAATTATCCTTAAATCAACAACGAATCAACTAAGTTTCTCCGATTATGGGTTTTGGATCCAAAAGTTTTTGAAATCGCCGCGCGACTTGTGACCATAGCATAGATGATTGATTGCAATATACAAGACAACATTCACCCTGGAGTGGAGAGTCCTAGCTGATTCACGAGAGGGATTCTGATGCATATATGGATAAGTGGGTGGGTAGTAGTGATCATTATAATGATAAGAAGTTGCTATGTATGGACTAAAAAATAAGATGAGAGAATGATAAAAGAAGGGGTCATCTCGGTTGAATGGTTTAGTCTGAACCTCACTGGTTGATTGATTTGTGTGTCGGTTTGGATGTTTCAACATCAATTGCTCACTACAAATACCATACATAAAAGACAATGATTTCTAAGATAATCAGGAGATGGACATCTGTAGGACTTATATTGGTTCAACTATTTTTTTTTTCAAAATGTGCAATACATTTAATTGCTATCTTTATTAAGAATTGAAAATTCAAACCACAAATAGATAAAGTCGACGACCCCCACCCGCAGGGCTTTGTCGAACTTTTCGCCGCGACATGCGAATACTGTATAGATCACGTGCCCTAATCAAAAACCTAGTAAAGAAATTTTTTTTTTTTCTTCTGACTTCAAGTTTAAACAACAAAGAAAAAAAAAAATTGTTCAGTTCAACAAGTGATATAATCTATTTATTAGTATTCTTCTTTTCCCCTCCACCTTTATCTAACCTATAATTTTTTTACAATCAATATGATGTCATATCAAGAAATTGTTCCAATTGGAACTTCATTAATCATTGGAGCCACTTGTTTTGGATTAGGAGTTATCTATGGTAACTGGCCATTTGATTTAAATACTTTATGGAGACATGATGTTCCTAATGGATTTGAAGATTCTCTTAATTATTATAAACAATGGGGTAATTCACCAATGTATATTCATTATACTTTACATGCTGTTGGTATTCTTGGATTAATTGGACATTTCATCAAATTATATAAACCAGATGAAGAAGCTAAATATTTCGAATATGGTAGTTTAGGTTTATTCATGGTTGGTATTATTATTTATTTGACCAATTTAAGAACCGGTGTCAATTCTTGTGTTAGTGGAGAATGGGGTGAAGTTGATCAACAAACTGGTATTAATGTTGTTGCTGCTAGTCAAGTTATGATTATCTTTGTTTTATTGGGAGTTTTGGTTTTACAAGGTGGATTATACTATGCTCAATGGTATGATAACAAATTGAAAGAAGAATTCTATAGACAAGAAGCTGAAGAAGCCGCTTTAGCTGCTGAAAAGCAAGCTAAACAAGAACATGACATTGTTGTTGAAGAACAAAAGGAAGAAGCTAAAGCCACTGGTGCTTCTAAGAGTGGTAACAAATCTGCCAAAAAGAGAAAGTCTTAAGCTTAACAAAGAAAAAAGGGGAATTATCATTCTTACTTGTATACGTTTATTATCTTGTTTTATAGTTTGTGTTGATTCATACAAAAAAAGATCACTTGACAATAATCACGTTATCGGTAACCGCACTACTATATTTTTATTTGTTTTCTAACCAATTAGGCTCACCAAAAATTCTATTACCAGAAGAGAGAGAGTTTTGAAAGAAAAATCAAAAAAAAACTGCAATATCAATTTAAAGATTGATCAGATTTAAATACATATTCGAATATAATTAACCATGAGTGGAGATAAAGTTTGGGGTGATAAACCAATATATTTTAAACAACCATTAAGAGTATGTTAAGATTCATTTGTTTTTTATTAGGAGTGGCTATGATTATTGACAAGGGATTTGGCTCAGTGAAAAGAGAGTACATGAATTGGAAAGTTTATGTTAATATTTATAGGTATTGAATGAATCAACGTCAATGTCATATACTCATTGATAAAGAGGATATTTGTGGAATATCAACCAGGAGAAACAATTAATGAAGTATTGTCCGACTATGAAAACAATCGTATAATCAATCACCCTGCCCTAATACAACACAAACAACCATTAATTGAAAATTCATTATTACTAACATATATTATTACTATTTAGTGGTTACGTTATCATGCACATGTTAATACAGCATTATTCACAGCAGTTGCATTGGGAGTTTCTGCCCCAGTATTATTATTATTAACTCCATTAAGAAGAAAATACTTATATCCAGATCATGAACCAATTCCATTTGTTTACCCATTACCTAATAGACCAAGAGATAAAAACTTGACTGGTTTTGATGATGCTTAAATTAGATGTTTTGTAATGTAATTTATTTTTATTTGGGGAAAAGAAAAAAGGTAAAACAAAATATATATATATAACAAACTAAAATAAAAGACTGTTATTTCATTTGATTACTTCTGCTTTAATTTGTTATATAGCTGTGAAATATTCATTATATATTATTATTATTATTATTATTCGTAAGTTGTTGAAGTATTGTAGAAGAATTGGTTATTACTAAAATTCATATTCGTGTACCAGGTATCAAATTGTAGATTTTGGTTGGTTCATGGAATCAATATGAAAAAGAGAGAGAGAGAGAGAAAAAAAAAACTTGAAAAATCAAAGAAAATTTTTTCACTGGGTATTAAACCATTTGAGAGGTGGTCCATCATTAACATGAATAGGTTCTCTATAATAACCAGACCTTTAATTAGATCTGCACATACCTTAAAGGTTTTTAATCCAATACCTGTTAGATTTATAACAACAACAACTCCAAAACTTGCCAGTTTATTGGGAGATATCACAGAAAATAAGATTGAACCTCAATCAACACAAGCAGTTGAAACAACTGATGAAGAAACTAGAAAATCTCAAGTTACTCCAGAAAATGATCAAGAGTTGATTAATTTTTATGAAAAAAAAGCTGAAGGTGTACAAGTTAAAGTTGAAAATTATATTCATCCATTGAAAATTGCATTATTTAATAAAAATGTTGAAATGAATGGTTTTTTCAAGAATGGTCAAGTATTAGATCATGAAGGTAAAAAATATAAATTCACTTTAACTAAACAAGAAATTGATATTTTGGAACCATCTATTTATTTACAAAGTTATAGAATTAAATCATCTATGAAAAAGGCCACTATTGTTAATAGAATGGTTAGAAAATTCAATGTTAAATTAGCTATTAATCAATTACATTTCAATAGTAAGAAAATGGCTACTGAATTAGAGAAATTATTGAAAAAAGGTTTAGAAGAAGCCAAAATATTGAACATGAATGAAAATGAATTATATATTGATCAATTATGGACCGGTAGTGATGGTAACTGGAGAAAGAGAATAGATTTCAAAGGTAGAGGTAGACATGGTATTCTTCATCACAGATATGTTCATTTGAAATGTGTTTTAAAAACTCAACAAACTTTGGATAGACTTGCCTGGGAAAAGAACCAAAAAGAACTTCACAGTAAACCAAGTACTCCATTAAATAACGAACCATTGAATATTAAAGTGAGAGGTTGGTACAAATGGTGATTTGCCCTTTAGATGATTTAATATGTTTTTCTTTCTTTCATGTATATATATATATTCATAACAATTGTACATATTCAATTGATGTTTAAAAAAAAAAGAAATAATTAGCAATTAAACACGTGTAGTATACCCACGCGAATTTAAATCACGTGGCAAACTACACATAAACAAGTACCACGTGATATATTGCGGAGAGAAAGTGTGTGCGGTATTTTTTTTAATTGTTTCTTTTCGGGGTTAACAAAAAATTTGATGACAATTATGTAAAAAGAAAATAAAAACAATCTTAATTGAAAGTAACTTTCATAGCAGGGTTTATTATATAATATCCGTTTTCTTAACTGCTCCTAAATGAGTTATACATTAGGAGACGCTTAAAGCATAATCGAAAAAAAAAAATAAAACAGCAATGACAACGCTAACAAGTGAGGAGGAGAAGGAGGGGAGAATGTGTGCGATAAGATAACCCGAGTATCCGAGAATGGGTACAACTTCTCTTTAGAACTAAATTCGATATATGCAACGTAAGTAATTTAGCAAAAATAAGACATAAAAAATAGAATATAAAAAGTCAGGATAAGACATGAAACGGATGTTAATTGTGATATGGGAAACTACAATCGAAAGTACAAAGTGGTTTGAAATGTCGGAGTATATAATAGGTGGTAGTGTCTTGAAGACCAAATTGACATTGTTATCTTTGCATCATCTCGATAAGAACGATAAAAAAAAAGGACAGAGAGGCACGCACCACATACAACAATAGGAGGTAAACGATGAGAAAGAAAGAGTAGGTAATGGTAACATATGGAGTTTCATTAAAATAACAATAGATTATACAATGATTAGTGATACTGGACACGTGACGTGTTAATTCAAGAAAGTAGCACATTGTTACAAGGAAAAGAGATAAACAATCTACTCATTTATTTATATACACTTTGCTTTTGGATGCTTTGCAGTATATATATATGGTATATATGTGGTATATATAATTTTTTGTCTGTCGGAGTATTTAAAAGAAATTGTGGAAATCTTAAAGTGAAACTCAACAGTTGGAAACGATTAACTAAAGGAAAAGTAGACGTAGAGAGGAATCAGAAAAAACTTGTGACTACTTCACCCAGAGTGTGGACAGTGGGTATGGACAGTGGGCGTAAGTGTGTGTTGTGTATTATTAATAGATCTTGTTTAAATTATTATTCAATCAATGATCTCTCTGAGTAAATATGTGGGTTATTTGGTATTCACACATCTATGATAATAATATAATATAATATAATATAATATTATATTATGTAATGTATTATTTTGTTATTTCCTTCCCACGTCTCCTCCTCCTCCTCCTCTTAATGTTCCTCTTCCCGGCCATTTTGTTGCACCCATTCTGTCGCCGCCTCTTTCTTTCCAGACAATCTCCCCATAGTTTTTAGTTTTTAGTTTTTAGTCTTCACAGGTTGAATGTATTTTTGTAATTCACCCACAGTTGTGTGTATCAGTTTAAAAGAGAAAAAACCACGCACATTCACACACATATAAAATATTAAATATTAAATATTGTCACTTGTTTTTTATTTCCATTTCCATTTCCATTTCCATTTCGGTGAGTCACTAGTACACTGGTGTTTCACTGTTACTAAAGCTCATTTTTTTTTTTTTTGGTTTAAACAGTATAACCTCTTTGGTTAAAGTGTTGCACTATTAATACAAAGAAACAGGAACAAAAAAAATTTACATATAATTATAAATCACTCCTTTTTCTTTTTTACTTTTACTTTTACTTTGAATTCATAAACCATTCTTTGATTCTTTTTTATATATTTATATATATATACATATTTATTTACTTGTTTCTACAATTATTATCATCAGCTTACTACCAACCCACTTTAAAGATCAGTTTCATATCAACAAGTAGTTACCTCAATCTTCTACTTGTCCACTGTTATTGACTACATCATTTTACATCCCTCCTCCATCCTCCGCCCCCTATTTCATATTCACCAGAGAGTGAGTGTGTATATGTGAGAGAGTGTTGTGTGACAGTGAAAGGAAAGTAAAAGAAAACTATCTACGAGAAATCACATTCAGAAGAGTCCTATTTCCCCTTTCAATTCACAGTTTATTTTAAGATTACTTATCATTTATCATCATCATGGGTTTAAAATGTACCAATTACTTTGAGAATTCAAAGTATGATTCTCCTAATATTCAGATCATTACTTGTAAAGGATGTTCTTCTCATTTATGTTTATCAGATTTGATATTATCAGACAATTTCAATGGAGCCAGTGGTCCTGCGTATTTAGTTGATAATTTGATCAATATTGAATTCAATTTAAATCCAGAAAAGACTGAAATGAAAACTGGTGTTTATCTAATTAATAAAATCAAATGTCATCAATGTAAGAATCCATTAGGTTGGTATTATAAGAAATCATATTCATATTCAGAAACTTATAAAGAAGGGAAATTTGTTATTGAAAAGAGTTATATAAATTTTATTGAAAATTTAACAACTACTCAACTATTACTTGAAAGAGCATTACAGAATAAATTTAGAAGAAGGTATAGTTCATCATCTTCCTCAAATTCTACTATATCCGATTTGGAAATTGATAAAGAAGATAATAATCATTGCTCTTCTTCATCTTATAATGAATCATCTTTTGCCACAAAAGAGAAATTAAAACTTGCTAGTAGAAGAAGATCCAGCAATTCAAGTTTAATGAATCGTTTAAGATTACCTTATCGTAATGAAGAGAAACAACAAGATCAAGACAACGATGATGTTTTTGTTGATGCTTAATAATGCTACTCCTATCACTACTATTACTCCTATTTCTACTAGTTTTCTAGTATTAAAAGGAAGAAGATAGTTCTTTGGCTTGTTACGTTTAGTTGGTATCAAAGTTTGCCGCGAGCTGGGTTTATGCCCTACGGGGGGTCACACACTTTTTTTTTTGTTAATTGTCTGTCCCTCGGGTAATATACCACTAACATTTTCCCTTTTTTTATATATATCTCATTACTGGTTTATTCCCTTGTTTTTTTATTGGCTTTTTTTTCAAAGGTATTGGTCTACTTTTTATTTTTATTCTTTGTCTTTTTTCATGGTTGGTTTTTCCTTTTTATTTTTTAATTTTTTTGATTTTTTGATTTGCTCTAAATCTGTTCTTGGTTGATGTTCCTTTTTTTATTATTTATTTATACTATTTGGTTCTCTGATTTTTTTTTTTTTTCAGTTTCTTCCCTTACACATATACCCCCTTTTTATTCTATCTCTGTTTAGGTTTGTTTACTTCTCTGATTCTGATTTTGATTTTGATTATAATTTTATCGTTGTTTATAATAATAATAATAATAATAATACATATAAGTTTAACTTCATTATATGATTTTGTAAGAAGAAATATACCTGACGATTGGTTTTGTTTCTTTTTTGCTTTTTTGTGCGTTGTTGCACGATCCTTTTTTTTTCTCATTTTGCACCCCGATTCTTTTTTTTTGTCTTTTGTCTTTCTCCATCAGTGGTTGCATTTTTTTTTATTGTGTCTGACATATGTTTATAATGATATATATATATATATATATTACTACCCTTCGTTATTCAATCTATATATCTATTCTGATGCCATTTCTTTTGGGGTTAATTTTGTATAAACCAAAACATATGCAGATGGATCATTCAATGCTACTCTTTCTTCAATCTTATTGATGTATTCATCATCATATGTACACCAAGTATATCCATCCGGTTGTAAACAATGAGAAACATAATGACCACTAGATATCGATCTACCTTCATGAACAATAACTGAAATTAATTTATATACAGCTTTTTCTTCCTTGTCTTCCATATATTTACTCAAATTTAAAAATTTAGAATAATTAATCAGTTGTTTGACTTTGGAACTTGAGTTATTGTTGAATTTGAATCGTTTAAAATGAATAGTTAATGTTTCTGGGGCAATTTTAATGGTGGATATTTTATTGGCATGTGTAAACATTTTACAATTTTCACAATAATATCCAGATTTATTCTCTTCAGTTTTTTTAATTAATTCATTACTGAAAAATTCATTAATTGATTTTTCAATTGAAAATTTATTACTATTCTTGAATTTTTTACGATTTAATCCTAAAGATAAATCATAAAACTCTTGATTAGTAGCTGATACATTATGACATTTATGACATGTGATTCTTTGTTTTAATAATCCCCCAAATATATCATAAATTATCGATTCATTCAATTTCTTACCCTTTGGGGTTGAATCTTCTTGTAATCTTGACATCAATGACATGTAATATTCATGGGAATCTTCTTGTTGCCATTCACTCATCATACAATTAATTTCATCCAATCTTTGTATGATTTTCTTTGGGTTGATATATTTTTTATCCCCCATCCACATTCTCTTACTCAATTCAGCTAAAACATGAGTAACTGATCTTGGCTTCAAATCTTTGATTTTATTATTATTGACATCATTGAGGTAATGTTGCACCGCTGGAATATGGATCATTGCTTGAATAGCAGAATTCATATAACATGTCACACCATGATTTAATAACCCAACTGGTGGTTTATTCTTAGCCAATTCTCTCCAGTTTTTATATATTCTATTAGAACCATTTGATCCTCTATCATTGTAATCTTCATTTATATCAT